GGAAGAGAATAGGCCAGTAGGTGGGTTTTCTCTTCGTGGTTCACTCGTGTCTGCTCTGGAGGATAATGGCGTTCCCATGGGTAAGGTACAACTTCAAAACTGACCTGGTGGTCTCCAGGTCTCCATTCTGTGCCTCAGTAATACTGCCGAGGAAAGCCTGCACTGTGGGAGCTGAGCAGGAGCTTTACTCAGTGAGACAATGAATGGCGTGTTTTTTAGTTGGTTTGTTTTGGTGGCACTGGGGATTGAACCTAGTGCCTTCACATTTAGTTACATCCCCAGCCCCTCCCCCCCTTTTTTGTTTTTTTGAGACAGGGTCTCGCTATGTAGCTCAGGGTGGTCTTGAACTCACAGTAATCCTCCTGCCTCAGCCTACCCACATGTGCCACCATGCCTGGCTTTCCCAGCTCTTTTTTTTTTTTTTTTGGTACTGGGGATCGAACTCAGGTCCTTGCGCTTGAATGGCAGGTGGTGGAACCACTGAGCTAAATCCCGGCCCACCCAGCCCTTTTTGAAAGAGGCTCTTAGTAAGTTGTCCAGCTGGGCTCAAACTTGTGATCTTTCTGCCTCAGTCTCCTAGAGTGCTGAGATCACAGATGTGTGCCACCGTGCCCAGCTATGGTGTTTTGAAGCCAATTTCAGAAATAGAGGAAAGGGTATATGAGATGTTCTTTTTTTGTTGTTTTTTTTGTACTGGAGATCGAACTCGGATCCTTGCGCTTGTGCAGCAGGCGGCGAAACCACTGAGCTAAATCCCCAGCCCTGGGATGTTCTTAATATAAAAATTCAATTCAAATAACCTAATTGAATACGTACTCTTTCTCCTCAGTTTCTGTGCTGATGGCCCGTAAGATTCTACCTGAGAACAGTAGCTAAGGGTTATAGTGTTTAGGTTGTAACAGTTTCTTCCTGTTGTTTACTCATTTCATACTAGCCAGCTGCAGTAAGAGGATAACATTCCATCTTGAGGATGTGGAAAATGAAGCTCAGAGTCAGATCAAATTCTGTACCCGCTTTTAACATAAACACACTGGATTCTTTGATGTAAATGAAACTAGGTGTATGGCTAGCATAGGGAGCAAGCAAAAGTGCTGGAGGAATGTCCGGATAACCAGTAGTAGGTCCTAAGATGCTCTGGAGGGAGTAGGAAAGGGAGCGAGGAAGGAAAAGAGGAATGCATGTGTCTGGTGGGATTCCCAACCACATACATTTGTGTGAAGAATGAGTTTTTGCCCATGTCTCAGTTGACTTGCAGCTACTTCAAGGTGAAAGCAGATGTGGATATTCGACTTAATTTTTTTTTCCTGCCTAGGAGTTAAAGGAAATGTCCAAGGAAATCTCTTCAAAGTGATTACAAAGGATGACACACACTATTATATCCAGGCCAGCAGCAAGACTGAACGAGCAGAGTGGATTGAAGCTATCAAGAAGCTAACATGACAAGTACCAGGACTCCTCCCTCTGATGGGATGATACAGAGGATTTCCTGAAGAATGGGTGTGTGTTAAGACTTGGGCTAGGGATGTCACTAAATGGTAGACTGCCTGCCTTGCAGGTGCGAAGCCCTGGGTTGAATTCCCAGCACAACAACAACAAAAGACTCTAATGTACATTTTGTACTGTTTTAGAGTAAGACTACTGAATAGTTCCTCAGATGACACACAGCAGTGGTGCTAAGATAGCCATTAGGTGCCATCATCTTAACTTTTGCCCATCAGGATGGCCAGCCATGTCTTTGGGCACCAGAGCCAAAACCCTTCGTTGGAACACTAATACTGGCCATGCTATTTAAATAAATCGTCTGAGGATGCTTCTCTGACTTGTAACTCTTATCTCCTCCTTTGGAATAAAATTTGACATTTGTTTCTGGCTGCTGTTTAATTTTTTTTGTACCCAGGATCAAACTCAGGATGTTGCACTTGGGAGGTAGGCATGATGCCACTGAGCTAAAATCCCGACCCTGCTATAATTTTTTTCTTAAAATTTTTTAATTTATTTTTTCCTGCTATAATTCTTATACAGAGTTATATCATTTTCTTTTTTTTTTTTTTGGTACCAGGGATCGAACTCGGGTCCTTGTGCTTGCAAGGCAAGCGACAGAACCACTGAGCTAAATTCCTGGCCCCAGAGTTTTATCATTTTCAAAGGTTTCCTATCTGTATGGTCTTATATTACTCAGGTTGATTATGGAAATATTTCAAATGATCTGTGTCACTAAGACACTTTATCTTAAAGTGGGGATGCTGGCAAAACTTCACTTGAACATTCAGGAGATAGTGTTTTGGTTTGGAAAATAAGTCTGGAAAGAGGCATGGATTCACTTGTAGAAATTAATCATATACAAAAACAATGAAATTACAGCTTTTCTATGAAAAATAGGCAGTTAGAAAAGGGACAGCAAGATGTAAAGGAAAAGTTAAGACACAAAGTTTTGGTTTTAAAATGAACATTAGCAGAGACAAATAGGCACCAAGAAACTTCCCTAGTTGGGAGGTTAATCTAAAGTAGTGAAAAGTCTGTATCATACGGTATTTTTGAAAGAACAATTTTTATTACTTCCAAGTTTATACAGTGATTTGGCACAAGATATTGCCAGGATTCTTGCCAAGTACAACTTCTTGGACTTTAATAGATAAAATATGTAACTTACAGTTAAGGGGAATGGGTATTTTCAAAGTGCTTATGTAAAAATTTGTTAATTGTTTTTCCTTTGCAAGTTTTTGCTAAGTAGTCCAGGCTAGCCTGGAACTTGTGACCCTCCAGCCTCCTGAGTGCTGGGATTACACGTGTGCCACTGTGCCCAGCTTGAATTTCTTCCTCTTAATCTTGTCTACTTGACCTAAGCTATCAGGAACTCTTAAAATGTTTTTTCCTTATTCCTTACATTTTAGATTACCTTTTAAAACACCATTTTCTATTTGGCATTTCACCAAGGCTTAATGTCCCTGGAATTACTTGTATTGCCTTTTGAATATTGATAGGTGCTTATCTGAATTAAACTACATTTGGTTTGATGGCTTCCTGTCTCCAAACTGGCACAACTGTGCCTTTGTTATCAGAGATTCAAGATTTACAAGTGTTGGAAAGTATATGATCATCAGCTTGAGGCAAATCAGTGAAGTTGACAAGGTGCTGAACTTAAAAAAAAAAATTCCCTAACCCCTTTGTTCTTAGTGTCAAAGTTGCTAGGTCATGAACTGTTGGACATGACAGGTAATTCTGGTCAGCATGATGCAGTAGTTAGCTTTTTGTGTTGCTATTATGACTTAAACATTGGTCATATAAGAATTGGCTTGTGGGCCGGAGGTTTAGCTCAGTGGCCCCAGCACCCACCTGGCAAGTACAAGATCCTGAGTTCAATCCTGGTTCCGCCAAAAAAAAAAAAAAAAAAGAATTGGCTTGTTACGAAACAAATATAATGGTTTAAATGTTTATATTTTAACATTATCTTCAATTTATGTGTGGACCCAAACTATCACTAATTTTATCAGTTGATAGTCACGACCTCAAGCAAAGGAAGATGGGGAAAATAGGAAATGGTCAACATTTTAAATGAAAAGGCTTTGGTAAGAGAATCAAGATTTGTTCAGTTGCCTGTCAATCCTGTGTAAGTCAGAGCTAGGTGTGCATCTTGTCTCTGGGCATCTTGTCTTTGCTTTTAGGTCAGCAAGATTTACATATGCTTTTAGTTCTCTTGCTCATGCTATAAAAGTGATCTGTCCTCTGGCCAGGCTCTTCAACAGACAAAATTGTGCCACTGAGCAAAAGGCCTGTGTGGGATAAAAATCACCATGGAGGCCACGAGTACTTTTCAAGTTACGGCTTTTGAAGTCTAAAAATTCCAGTAAACAAAAAAGTTCAATTCCCCTGGATACAACAAAGGAGCACCAGTTAGATTTTGGAAACATCTTGATGCTATGAGTTTTATAAACCTGTTTTTTGATGTCTCACAGACAAAAGTAAGAATTATGTGCCAACCTCAAGTACATCCAGATTCCCTGTGGCATGCTGGTGGGTGGACATGGCTCCCTTTTGGAATGGGCTATCTTTAGTTAGACCATTGGATTAAAGTTACAGGCTGTTAAATAAGGGACAAACCTTTATAAAGGTCATGAACTATCTACGATCTCCATCACATTCTTATTTTCCAGGGCCTTTTTTTCTTGCTATGCTGCCCAGGTTGGCCTTGATGTGGGTTCAATCTGTCCTCATGCCTTTGCCTCCCAAGTGGCTGGGAGCGTAGGCAAAAACCAGCATTTCCAGCTCTAGTACCTTTAATACTGAGTGAAGTCTAGTCCTGCATTGATTAGGGTGGGTTAAATTTAATGTTTTAATAGCTATTCCTAGGGATAATAATAAATAACTGGTATTTCAAGTATTTTTAGATATTAAATCTATAGATAAGCATACTAAAGTAACTTGTTATTTTCTATACTCCCAATCCCTTGCCCAGTACTGGGGATTAAACCCAATGTACTCTATCACAGAGCCATATTCCCAGACCTTTGAGACAAGGTCTCACTAAGTTGCCCTAGCTGGCCTCAAACTTATGATCCTCCTGCCTCAGCCTCCTGAGTAGTAGGGATTAAGAGGCACACGCCACCATGCCTAGCACAATTTTCTACACTTGACTACTATAGGTGTAACTTCAAATGATGTGTTACCTGTAAAATTTTCTACATATACTTGAAAAATAATTTGTTCTTGTTAAAAATGATGGAAATGAAAAAAAAAAAAAAATCACTGTAACTGTTCAAGCAGATCCCTGTTCTAAGGAGAACCAAAGACATAGGTGGCAAGACAGGTACTTTAAAGGAAAAAATTAAAAAATCAAAAGCTGGGAGATGATGTTAACTAAATCAAAATAGCAGCATCTTCTTTAGAAGAAGAAAACCCTTACCATCTTGAATTGAGAAACTCAAGGCAAGCAGCTTAGAATACCACCAAGGCCCCAGTGTGACAAATTCTCGTAAACCAAACTATCTTCAGTCTTGAATAGGTAAAGGCACACAACAATGTAATCCTTTAATTGCATTTAAGGCTACCCCCCAAGAGTCAATTTCACTATTATTAAAGTTAAAATACTTTCTCTGAACTCTCCTTTTGAAACGGTCTGTTGTATAGGTCCACTGACCACCTGATCTTGTATTTCTACATCTAGATTAAAGATAACAGAGTTAGGGTCTTAGCACTCAGAATGCTTTTAACTGGTGACAAGAAGGAAAAAGCCTATAATTAAATATCCCAGAAATTTATTTGATGTTTGGTTGAATACATTTTATATAGAAAGATTGAGATTGTTGTTTGCTTTGGGTGCCTCTGGTAAATCTCATGGAGGCACTAACTACAAAGGGTGCCAATCTGAAGATATAAGAAATGGAAATCACAAGCCCAATTTTAGGACTGTTCTTAGCTAAAGATTTGTATCTCGTGAAATCAAGCCACTCCCTTAAAAAATGCTCAATGTGTTGGAGCTACTGTGTGAAAACTGCTGACATTTGGGAGGGCATTTCATGTTCTGGTCTGCTGGAACATTTAAATACTTGGAATAAAAAATATTCAGCTTTGAAGTTTTCAATACTGGAAAACTTTCAAGTCTAGAGTTTACAGCCAGGAAGGACCGCTTCGTGTTCCTCAAATTGGGCTGTTTCCCACAAAGTTAATCTTCAGTTTTGGCTTCCATTTCTTCTGCATCATCATCTCCATCCACTTCTGCATTTTCTCTTTCAAGCCTCTCCAGCTGCCTCGCAAGTTCAGTCTCGTCTGTATCTGTGACCACTTTGGGCTGTGGAAGTACAGGCATAATTTCAAAGTGAAGCAGTTAAACATACAGAGTCCGCCGAAAAAATATATATATCAGGAAAAGAAAAACTTGCATAAATATTTCAATACTAAATTTATTTATTTTGGTACTGGGGATTGATCTCAGGACCTCCTGCTTGCCAAACAGGTGCTGTGCCACTGAGCTAACTCCTGGGTCTTCAATACTAAATTTATTGAGGAACCAAGAGATTTATACAAGTTACTTTTGGCCTCTACAATTATAAGAGGTGCCCAAGGTGCCCATTCACAGCCAGACATTTATTAGTATGGCGAACTGCTGAAGTGTGTATGCTTTTTTGGTGGACTCTGTACAAATCCAATTCAATACTATCATTGTCAAGTATTTTATCTTTTTCCCCTCACACAACTGATACTTATCTCAGACCCTTCACACTGAGCCAACATCCGCAGTCTTTTGTTTATCTTATTATTATTATTTTGTCTTTTTGGGACAGTCTTGCTATGTAGTTCAGCGTGGTCCTGAACTCACTATGTAACCCAAGGGCACCTCCTGATGATCTTCCTGCCTTAGCTTCCCAGGGTGATGGGATTACAGATGTGTGCCACTATATCTTGCTCTAATTTTAACTCTTACAGAAGTACTTTCCTCTCTAACAAATCTGTCAAATTTCTTCACTTTTGAGTGTTGACTTATTACTATTGAATTCTATTAGCTAAAAAAAATAGAAGAAATTTATGAGAACAAGACTAAGGTATAAGAGAAAGATGTTTACGTCAAAATGGAACAATACATTTTTGTCATCTTTATAAGCTAAAATGAACTGAATATACATAAAATAATCTCAGTGGCTAAAACTTTTAAGACCACGAATAAATTACTATTCTTTTCTAGACAGCAAATCATATGCATAGATATACATGCATGTGTGGAGATTAGGTTTTGTTCTTGTTGAGATGAGATGACTGGTTTGTTTTTTGAGACAAGGTCTTGCTATATAGTCCAGGCCAGCCCCAAACTTGCTATGAAGCCCAAGTTGGTCTTGAATTTAAGATCTTCCTGCCTCAGCCTCAAGAATGCTGGGATTACATGCATGTGCCACCATGCCTGGCTGTTATTTCTAATTCTGATCAAATTTTTAAGCATGTTACAGTCAAATCCTAACAATAAATTTTTCAGCTGGGCATGGTGGCAGGTGTCTGTAATCCTAGCACTAGGAAGGGTGAGGCATGAGGATCACCATGAGTTCAAGGCCAGGCTTGACTACAAAGTGAGACCCTGTCTCAAAAAACTAAAAGAAAAAAAAAAAAAAATCTCAGTTTTATTGTTTATTTCTCTTGCTGGTGGGAAACCCCCCCCCATACCATTGGTGATCAGAGGCCTGAATGCCCATCCTACAATATGACATTCCAGTAGTAATAATTCTTGATTACCTACATAAACCCTTTTTAGGAACCCTCTCAATCCTTAGCAAATTTATCCTAAATTTTGTTTTTTTGGGGGGAGCAGTACTGTGGATTGACCCCGGACTGCCTTACTGAGCCATATCCCCCTCCTCTCTTTAAAAAAATTCTGAGACAGGGTCTCACTCATTTGCCCAGGCTGGGCTTGAACTTGCAATCCTCTTGCCTCAGTCTCCCTGGGTACTGAGATTACTGGTGTTTGCTACCAAGCCCTGCTTTAATTTTAACTCTTAAATATTTTCCTGCCAGGTGGTGTTATACACCTATAATCCCAGCATTCAGGCGCTCAGGCAGGAGGATGTCCATGAGTGCAAGGCCAGCCTCAGTTACATACATAGTGAGTTTCAGGCCACTCTGAACTACATAGCCAGACCCTCTCACAACCAACCAACCAACCAACCAACCAACCAACCAGATGAGGAAGAAAAAAATGAAGAAGAAAAAGAAATACTTTCCTTTCTAACAACTCTCTTACCTGAGCAAATTTATCTAGTTTTAAAAGGCAGTGATCAGTTATTTTAGAATAAAAATCCTTTAGATAATTGAAGTTTAAAAAAAATTTTTAAGAACAACGTAAAAATGAAGGCACTGATCTCACCTCCATTTGAACATTGAACACACCCCTCTTTTCCTCAATCTTTTCTTTGATAACAGCCATGGCTTGATTGAGAACTGAGAGGCCTTCTGTTCTCTCCAGGGTTGTTGTGGTCATCACGTACCGAGGAGGAGCTATTAGATTAATCTATAAAGTAGAAAGACAAAAATTTGATTATGAATATACTTACAGAATACAACTACTAGGATATTTTAATATTTGTACGTTAATAAGTCACCCCAAAACTCATCTCCTAATTCTGTAGGTTAGCAGTTTGGGACCAACTGCTAATGCAGCAAAAGCTAATTGGTATGAAGAATGATGAATTTTGGGTGTCTTTGGTGGCTAAGCTATAGTCATCACCAACATAATAGATAACTGTCTCTAAATTGATGGAAAGAAATACTTACAAGAGATTCTGAACTAACAGCCATCCTGTTTATTTTACTGCTATTGGAAGATCCAGATCAAACTGTATATAAGTTGCACATGTATAGCTGACAGAATAGCTTATCCTTTTCAAGGTGCTGTAAAAATTTTGGGGCCCTGGCCCACTCGCAACAGGAATTCCCATCTACTATGATAGCAGCGACAACAAAAAGCCACCACATGGTCACAAACATTTCTCAGAAACATCATCACTTACCTCTGCTCAATTAAAAACAAAACACTTTCATTATGAAACATAGTTCTTTTTCTGTGATGCTGGGTATCAAACCCAGAGCCTTGCACATGCTAGGCAAGTGCTCTACCACGAAGTTACCCTCCTAGCTTAGGACCACCGGATCATTTAAAAAAAAAAAGCTGGAGTGTGAGTGTTTAGTAACCCTGGGTTCAGTCTAGAGCACCAAAAAAGGGGAAAAAATTAAAACCAGGATATGATTTGTTTAGGTGGTTATTTCAGCAGTTGGAGAAAACTGACAACTTACCTTAATGGGCATGGTCTCTGTTGAACAATTCAAACCTGCTCTCAGGGCTTCTTTCACAGCATCGATTCCTTCATAGCCATAACAAGCCACTTCAATATCTAAAATGACAAAGGTTCAAAAGCTGATGCCAACAAATGCAAGAAATATTTAAAAATTTGTAAGAACTAGAGATGTGGCAGATATACTAGTATTCAAATACTCCTTGTAAAAGCTTTTATTATCCTAATTAGAAATCAATGACTAGCTATTAATTTTCATAATTAAAAATACTAAATAAACCTATCTTCTCATGTATAGCAAGCCACCTAATTGTGAAACTATAAAAGACAAAAGAAATTTAACACTTTGTCCAGAACTGTTCAGAATCGCATAATCTTTGGCCCAGCAATTCCTTTAGGAGTTTGTCTTGATGCATAAACATGTGAATGTGTATGTGTAAAGGTACTAATCTGCACTATATTTTTGTAACTGTTAGAAAAATTTATAATTACTGATATAGCAACGTATTCTTCAGCAAGTCTCATTACATAACAGCTTTTGTGGTGCATGCAAAATATTTTGAAAATCATTTAAAAAGTCATTTACCTGCTCGAATTTTGACAGCTTGTGGAGTCAAACGCCTATTAATATTGTTAATGAGTACCTCCCGCTCATCTTCATTCAAATCTAAACTATCCAAAATAGACGGATCTCTAATTTAAAACAAGACAAAAGGGCAAGGTTACATTACTGACAATTGTGAAACCAAGCACAGCACACCACAGAATAATGCACATAACAATAAAGCATTGGCTTTAGTGTCAGAATGAGCTCAAATTTTAGTTCTGCACTTTTAACTATGTGTATTAACCCTTTCCAAACATGTTTCCACATATGCACAATGAGGATGAAAACCATGTACCTCACAGGATTGTTTTAAGTATTAAATAAGATAATGTCAGTAAAGTACTTAGCAGTACATAATAAGCAGAAAACACCCAACTGATTATAGAAGACAAACTCTAAATATCGCTAAAATAAGCAACTTAATCCCTTCTCATACATGTGACATCCAACTATATTTAAGCATTCCCATATCATTAACAGTCATATTTCAAGGATTCTATAATCTAGCTCAAAAAGATATAATTTATACAAATAAAAGAACATCCATGGGCATCAGAGAGGGAGTGTTAGTTCCAGTAACTGGGGTCAGGAAAGGGTGTATGCAGAAAAGCAGCATCTCCTCTACCTTTCTTGAGTGCCACGAGACAGGCATCAGGGTCACAGTCTCTGGCATGTTGAACAAAGGAAAAAAATGACTAAAAGAATGGGGGTTGGTTAAGGAATGAAAAGTGACAGAACCTGGGTGCAGGGAACTAACTTTTTTTTTGAGACAGTCTCACTATGTAGTTCAGGCTGGTCTTGAACTAACAGTGCTCCTCTTGCCTCAGCTTTTGGAGTGCTGGGAGTTATAAGCATGTACCTCCACACCCAGTGGAACAGTCATTTAGCTAATACAAAGTAACAAGAGGACAAGCCAACAGATTACAAAGGAAGACAAATGCACAGAACACAGGCAAAACAGATAAAAAGATGTTTCAAGTTGGCTGTGGTGGTGCACACCTGTAATCCTAGCACTTGGGAGGCTGAGGCAAGAGGATTGCCACAAATTTGGGGCCAGCTTGGGCTACAGAGTGTGTTAAAGGCCAGTTTGAACTACACAGTGAGACCCTATGTTGAAAAACCAAGGAAAGAAGAGAGATGACAACAGGGCTGTAATTTGTATGTCTTGCTGCCACGTGGCTATGATGTGAATTTCATTGTCTGATGTTAAATAGCTAACCATGGGTGGTTCAAGCCAGTGGAAATATGTTTAATAGCCTCACTAATAATCAGGAGCATTCAAATCCAAAGATACATGCAAAAGGAAAAAATGTGATATATGTACCAAATGTTGGCTGCTGGATGTGTTGGCATATGCCCTATAATCCCAGCACTCTGGGAGCCAAGGCAGGAGGATCACCAGTTCAAGGCCAGCCTGGTCAACTTAGTGAATTATTGAGACCTTGTCTCAAAATAAAAAAACAAGGTTCTGGTGATGTAACTCAACCCAGGGCAGGGCCCTGGGTTCAATCCCCAGCACCACAAAACAAAACAAAACGAAATGAAACAAAAACAATCAAAACCCAAATGTTGGGGCTGGGGATGTAGCTCACTGGTACAGCACCTGCCTGGCAAGCACAAGGTCCCAATTCCCCAGTACCAAAAAACCCCCAAAAACCAAAAAACAAAAACCCAAATGTTGGTGAGGATGAGGGGCTATAGGAGTATCTACACAGTTGCTGGAGGGAATATAAATTACAGAATCAATTTGAAAAGTAACTTGGCAAAATCAAATCAATTTAAAGGTGTATATATATAGTCATTCCTAGGTACATGTCTCAGGAACTCTCAAATGCATGCACACACACACATATATGCATAGATACTCATCACAGCCTTGTTTGAAAAATGGGACAAAAGGCCAAACTAAACTTGTGCCCCTTGGTACTGGGGACTGTATCCAGAGCCTCACACCTGCTAGGGAAGCAGTCTACCACTGAGTCATCCCCCTATCCCTTTTTATTTATTGTTTAAATTTTCAGATGATCTTGTCAAGTTACTCAAGCTGGCCTCAAACTCCTGCCTTAGCCTCCCAAGTCCCTTGGATTACAGGCATACCTAGGCACTAAATACTTTTGTTTTGGGTTTTTTTGTTTTGTTTAGTTTTTTGGATTTTTTTTTTGGTACTGGGGATTGAACTCAGGTCCTTGTGCTTGCACAGCAGGCGGCGAAACCACTGAGCTAAATCCCCGGCCCGTTTTTTTTATTTTTGAGGCAGGGTCTCCCTTTGTAGTTCAGGCTGGCCCTGAAGTCACTTATGTAGCCCAGGCTGGCCTCTAACTCGCAATGATCCTCCTGCCTCAGCCTTCCGAGTGCTGGGATTATAGGCATGCGCCAACATGTCCAGCTTGTTTTTGGTTTTGAGACAGGATCTTGCTGTGTAGCTCAGATTGGCCTTGAACTTGCAGTGATCCTTCTTCCTTACCCTCTCGAGTGCTGGGATTATAGGCATGTGCCACCATGCCTGACTATGTTTTTGAATAGGGAAATAGACAAAGTATATTCTCAGAATGAATTGCTATATAGAGATTAATAAAGATGAAGTAGGTACACATCTTATTAACTCAGAGAAACCTGACTCAATAAGTCTTGTAAGGCAAAATACATGCTACAGAAAAATACAGTAACATTTTAAATATATAAATTATTCTATATGTACTTCATGCATACGTATATAAGTTGTGCATCCTTTATCCTAAATTCTTGGGACTGGAAGTGTTTGGGATTTTTCAGATTTTGGAATATAGTGGTACCTCAGTTTACAAACAACTTATGATTTTGGGGAAGATGGATGCATTTATGTTTGTGTGGGGAAGATGGCTGTGGTTGTGTTTGTCATCCTATGCAGAGTTTGTGAAGGAAAGCAAAATTTGCCAAATGCTTTAGTTTGCAAACCAAACTGTTTGCCAAGAGAAGCATTTGTGAACTGAAGTATTACTGTATTTGCATGTATAGAATGAGGTATATTGCGGAGGTACCCAAGTCTAAACATGTAATTCATTTATGTTTCATCAATACCTTATACACATGTCCTAAAGCTAATTTCATAACATTATTTTTAGTGTGCCTGCATTTGACCGTAATCTGTCATAGGAGGTCAGGTGTGGAATTTTCCACTTGTGGGATCATGTTTGTCCTTAAAAAGTTCCAGAGTGATTTCTGTGTTAGGGATGCAAAACTTGTATATAGTAACATCACAAAAACAAATAATAATGATATACATATTATTTCTATTTAAAAAATTTTATTTCTTAATAAAGAAAAAATACGAAGCACATGTGGCAAAGAATCAGCATTAGTTAAATCTCAACAGTTGCTACCTGAGAAAGGAAGTAGAAGAGTTTAAAGGGAATAACATATGCCAAGGCTTATTGTTAATGGATATAGAAGCTGAAGAGGTAAGCTGGGGGCGAGGTGCTAACAGTAACCCACAGTAAAATATATACTAATGGCCCAGGAGTGTAGCTCAGTGGCAGAGCACTTGCCCTATGAATGTGAAATCCTGGGTTTGATACTGAGTTTAATTCTCAGCACTGCCAAACCAAACTAAACCAGTATTGAACATACCAGCTAAGAGTGAGGCAACAGAAGGTAAGAGAGCTAAGAGAGAGAAAAACAGTAGAGACTTGGGTTTCTTTTTTTTTTTCTGGTACCAGAGATTGAACTCAGGTCCTTGAGGTTACACAGCAGGGGGCAAAACCACTGAGCTAAATCCCCGGCCCAAGACTTGGGTTTCTGAGGAAAAAAACTCACTAAAAGCACAAAGGATGTGGGACAAAAGTGAAGGACCAGCTGAGTTTGGAGACCAGGACTGTGCAGTGGCATCAACCTGGAAGACTTTTTTCATAGTAGCACTCAGCAGTCTAAAAGTGCAGAGAAGGCAGGCGCATCAATCTAAGGCTGGATGTAACAGAAGGAAAAGCAGGGCAAAAGCTCATGATATTGTTAAGAAAATTATTGAAACGATAACTTCTGGTGTTGTCTGTGCTGAATAAAACAGAAAATGCAGGAAAGGGTGAAATACACACACACACACCCCCACCCACCCCCAGCAAAACAAGTTTGGAACCAGATCCTAATACATAGGAATTCAAGAACAAACACAGTAGGACAAGGTAAATGGGAGCTGGAAGGATAGGGGACTATTGTATTAGAAAGTACAGAATATATAAATTAAAAGTTTCAGAGACAGAGCAAGCCAAGTATGGTGGTGCACACCTGTATCCACCAGCATCCGGGAGGCTGAGGAAGGAGGATTGCTGTGAGTTCAAGGGCAGCCCAAACTACATATATGGTTAGATCTTGTCTCAAAGAAAGAAACAAAGAAAAAAGCAGAGGCAGGGCAAATAAAATGACCTGGAGTGAGGCCATAAGGAAGACTGACTAAAGTGCCAAGGTCTACAGGTCAAAGGAACTGAGGTAAAGAAAATTAGAGGCTGCAGTTTTGGATGCAACACCCACACACATCATGAAGTCATCCAGGATAAGAATGAAACTAGGAAATGCAAATTTGAGTAGCTTGAGATGAAACTGTATGGGTTATGAAACCATGCAACTATGGTATATGAGACTCTATAGACATCATGGCCTTTCATACTGAGATAGTTGAATCTAAATTTGGCAAGGACTTAATACATGATGTTGTGTGATTAAATGCCAGACTATCAACCTGTGTGCTGGACCCAGCAGCCGATATATAAAGCAGAAACAGAATCAAGGTGTTCTTACGAGACTGCATGTTTAAATGCATCGTAGGCACCATAACCAGGTCTCTTGTACTTGTCATCGAAGACCCAGGCAGTCCTCTGGAACAGGCTTTCCAGCTGCTCGTCCTTGGTGTATTCTAACACCTCAGCAACATGACGAAGAATGCTATAAACCTACAAACAGAATGAAGAGAGCAAGAATTCCAAGATCAGAGTGATAACAAATGGTGATTTACTTATTAAACACACAGATAGTGGACTAATTTGTCTCAAAAATCAACTTACAGTTTTGGACTTTGTGAATTTGTCCTCACATTTGATTGCTTCCTCTGGAGAAACTCTTCTTTTTGACAAATCAATGTATCCTATGAGAAAATTAAAAAAAAAAAAAAATCTATGTTCAAGTGCTAGCATACTATTGTGAGCAATTTTTACAAATAAATGAAGTGTTTGATTGACAAGCTTATAATTATTCTCTATTAAAGTCATATCAACAAAATATTGCATAAGAAGAAATAAAAGATGAGAAATTCTGATTTGTTCTTAGGAATGCATCTTTACTATCAGGTAATTATATATTTGCTATTACTTTGTTGGAGGGAATTAACAATTTTGAATTATCTAAATGAAAATTAGTGAAATGCCTCTCCTTTCTTTTTTGTTTTTGGTACCGGGGATTGAACTCGGGTCCTTGCGCTTGTGCAGCAGGAGGTGAAACCACTGAGCTAAATCCCCGGCCCCCCTTTTTTTTGATGCCTCTCCTTTCCAGTTTTCCTTTCTGAGCTTCTGAAGAGTAGGAACTCACTGATTTAAGAGGCTGTCAACAGTTTTTGTTTTGTTTTTTTGAGACAGCGACTCACTACGTACACCAGAACAGCCTCAAATTCCCAACAATCCACCTGCCTCAGCCTCCTGAGTGCTGGGATTACAGGTGTGCTCCAAGCCTGGCAGTTTTTTAAAGGAACATATTAAAATTGCCATCTCCTGAGTGACTACCACATCCAAGTGATGATGACAGGTGTTTAACTTAAGGATCTCATTGAATCCTTAAAATCCTGCATGGTAAATCCTCTTTCCCACAACTCCTAACCCTTTTAATCTGAAGAAACAAAGAGAAATTAAGCAACTTGTCAAATAGCTAGAACATGGTGGAAGTCCACAAACCTTTGCTTGGTTAGAACTCACAGTACAATGCTAAATAACAGTCGTGAGGGAGTATCTTTGCCTTCTTCTCCATATTGAAGGAAAGCATATTGTAGTTTTTTTCCTACACAGCTTTCATCAGATGAAGGAAATCCTATTGTATTTCTAGCTTACTGTCTTTTTATTACAAATGGGCAGTGAGTTTTGTCAAATGCTTTCTTGGTATTATTTACATGGTAAGATTTTCCTCATGTTAGTTACTACACACTGACTTTCTATTTCAGATTCTGAGCATTTCTTTAATAAACTAAATGTATGGTTTATTTGGGGCAAGTGCAGCACCACTGAGCTAAATCCCTGGCCCCTATGTATGGTTTATTTGGGTGTGGTGGCACATATCTATAATCCCAAGAGACTGAGACAGGATTCCAAATTCAAGCCCACCCTGGACAACTAAGCAAAACCCTATGTCAAAATTTACCACCCAGTGCCTATTTTCTTGTTGAAGAATACTCTTATAACCACCACAAGCAAAAAACTGTCAGTCCTCAAATCATAATACAAAACGAGTTTCTTTGTAAATACAAATTTTCATTTCACTTGGGCAAATACCTAGAAATGGGATTGCTGGATTGTGTAGGCTGTATACCCCCCCTCCCCATCTAACCCATAAATACTAATCCTGGGATGTACTAATTAAGTACCACTAACTTAAAGAGGTCTTGCTTAACTGGCTAATTAACAGCCTTCTCCAGTAAGCATCCTTTTCATATGTAAAAGAGTCAAAGTATAAAATTTTTTCTGAGGCAATATACAACTGAAATTCATAAGTTTAAAAAAATTTAAAAAAATTTTTATTACTTCATGTTTACAGTACATGATTACATTCATCTTAAGTAGTTGGTACATGTACACAGCACATCTTTTTTTGTGTGTGTGTGGAGGGGGGTACCAGGGATCGAACTCAGGACTTTGAGGTTGTGAAGCAGGTGGCAGAACCACTGAGCTAAATCCCCGGCCCGACACAGCACATCTTAATCCCTCCCAAGTAACTTAAATCTGAAATTTATATTTTTAAGATATTGTCCTCACTTACCTTTTTCTTTGTCCACTCTAATGACAACCACACATTCATTCCTGCCAATTCGAATGAGTTTGTTTATAGAACGGATACGTCTCCTGGATAATTCACTAAGAAGAATCATGCCTTCGATATTGTTGTATTCCAGCAAACTGACATAAGCTCCCATTTCAGCAATGGACCTTACATTCACCATCACTACATCTTCCACCTCTGGAAATTTGTGTTGATAAAATCTACAACTTAGACCTGGCATTCTGTAATTTAAACAAAAGACTCAAATTCAGGGTCCAGTTAAGGTGAAAACAAAGAAATGTCAGTTTTCCACATCTTGCCACTGAAAGAACACAAAAGATAAAAGAAAATATAACTATTAGTCTTCTTATCTCTTTAAATGTCTTAAATGGTACTAGAAAATAGATGAATATCCAGGAAGCAAGTTTTAATTTTTTATTTTGCTCTGTATTTTTCTAAGGCTTGCCAGCAGGCCTTTGCCACCAGTTTCAGAGGAATCATAAAAAAATAATGACCTTCTATAAAGTACTATGAGAACTAAGGATTAAAGGAATACCTCAAAAGTAAAACAGTATTTAAATCCTACCACTTTAAGAAGTACCAAACGATGGGAAGCATAACTACTGTTATAAACCTTTCAGCAAAACCAAAGCTACTCTTTTCTTCAAGTCAGCTAAGACTGCATGTTACTCCCCTGCATATAAAGAAGAATCTTCTGACTACCCAAACCTCAAGCAACCGAACAAACAATATATCTAATCTTTTTTTTCGTGGTGCTTGGGATTGAACCCAAGGTCTAGAGCATTCTAGGTAAGTACTCTATTGCTCTATTTTTAGGTATACCTAATCTTGAAAACAGCTTCATAAATCTTCACTTCTAAAGAGTTCAAACTTTTCTTAACCTCCAGATATTAAAGATATTTAAAATTATCCCCTCTGATCCACCCAACCTAAGGTGGGAACATCCCTTTTATGATCCATGAGTTGGAAATCATACCATGCATAGAAGTATATTTTTAAAAGGAAGTTCTCAGACTAATCATGGCTGATGATTTCCCTATTTTTCTATTAACCTTAACCTATTTACTGTTAAAGGTCAGAAGATGGGACTTAAAAAGCAGTGACAGAGGGCCGGGGACTTAGCTCAGTGGTTCTGCCGCCTGCCTTGCAAGCGCAAGGACCCGAGTTCGATCCCCAGTACCCCCCCCCCCAAAAAAAGCAGTGACAGAGCTGGGTGTGATGGCACACATCTGTAATCCCAGTAATTGGGAGGTTGAGGCAGAAGGACTGCCCTGAGTTCGAGGTCAGCCTGGGGCACACGGTGAGTTCAAGGCCAGCCTGAACTACCTAGTGAGTCCCTGTCTCAAAAAACCAAAACAAAAACCCCCAGAAAAACAACAAAACAAGTCAGTGGCAGGATTTCAAAGTCTAAGACAAAATTTGGGAAAAAAGGCTGCCAATATCCGATCTTAGAAGTAGATTAACTACACTGGGTACACTGAAACATGCCTGTAATTCCAGCACTGGAAGAGACGAAGGCAGGAGGATAGCAAGTTTGAGTTCTAAACAGGCAACTCAGAGAGACCTTGTCTCAAAGTAAAGTAAAATAAAATAAAATGGACCGGGGACATTGCTTAGTGGAAGAACACCCCTAGGTTTGAGTCCCATACCGTGGGGGAGGGTGAGAAGTAGATCACATACATCCAACATGTGGGATACCGGAATTCTGTTTAAGTGCAGTTTAAGGACTTCTACTTGGCACCCACATATAGAGTCTGCCCAATGGGAAGAAACATGTAGGACTTATATTTCTTTTTATTAACTAAGAGTCCTGTATGACCTGGTCACTGCCTGTTTCCTTGAAGTACCACTTTCTTTCTAGATCTCCTCATTCTATAAATAAACTGAGGCACAGGTTGAGCAACTTGTTCTTTCATATACTGATACCCATCAAATTTGGATCCAGAGTCTTTGCTCACATAAATCAGGGTTTTTCCTCTCAATATCATCTATAAATGTTACAACAGATACAAACAAAAAGCAACATTAGTATACATATTCAGCATTGAAGTACACACCACAAATTGGTACAAACTATTAGTATTAATCTATCTTGTTTAACAAAAAGCAATGTATGTGGCAGAGATTGCCCTTGTAGCTTGACAAAATAGGGATTCAGCAAAGGGAAGTAGACACTCAATGGCCAGAATTACATACTAAGAGAAAGCTGAGCTAGTTGTTTCATTTTTAAACAGGGATTTACCAGGGATGGGAGAGCAACTATTGTCAAATATCTCAATATACAGTATCTGTATTTGAGAGCTAAGAGTTCCAAACTGGATATCAAAATAAATCATGTCACGGACATGTGTGGAAGACTTTTAAGAGATTTAATAGATGGTAACCATTATTTGCTTACCAAATTTCTACAAATAGCAAAGGTGATGCTTTTGGGGAGGCAAGCCTGAGTTTGATGTTTAAAGAACACAGAGTAGGGTAAAAGAATCCTGAAAGGAGCTATGAATACTACTTCTTTGCACAAGTCTTTTTGCAATATGTAAATAATGGAATAACACTGATGGTATGCTATTAAGGACAGAAAGTACCCAGTAACTACAAAAGGATCCCTCTCAAAAAAGAATCTGCATATTGACTGATACATTTTGAACATATCACCTTAAAAATGCAAGTAACACTTTTAAAAGTAACTGTTCTTAAACTTTTTTTTTTAACTGTTTTTCTCAGTCACGAAAACAGAAACCACACTGGGATTTATTCAGTCCTTTCTATTATTTTCAAGCATCTGTATTTGGCCCTCAAGTGTTGAGCCAGGCAAGCAGCATGGTGAACTCAGGGAAAAGCACTGAACTTGGGTTCCAGTCTTCGCTCTCCTACTTTCCAGCTGTAGTTGCTTGGGAAAGGCATCCTCTTTGAACTCTGGTTTCTAGTCTGTGTTATGTACCTCCCAGGTTTGTGGAGGGTATCGAATGAAATAAAATACACGTAAAAACATTTGATGCCAGGCAGGGGATTTAGCTCAGTGGCACCATGCCTGCCTCATAAGCACAAGGTCCTGAGTTCAATCCCTGATAGCAACAAACAAACAAACATCTGATGCCACACAAACATACTTTGTAACTTAATTTGCTAAACAATTTTTTTTTTCAGTATCTGCTATGTATACCAAGCACTGCTGAACCAAGAAGATTCTTACCTGAGGAATTAAGTATAGAGCAGGAGAAAAACCTAATATGCAAATAATTACAATATAAGGTGCTATGAAAGAAGCACAGTGAAGCAATCAATTAACAGGGCACCAAAGAACAGGAATATTAAATAACTTGCTCAAGGAAAAAATGCTTAGTAAGTACTAAAGTAGGAACTAAACCCAAGTCTTCTGATATTAAACCAGAGTGTCTTTTATCCAGTCTCAAAACTACATAGTATTCAATATGAAAATACTATAATACTGTTGTGTTCAATGTACAAAACATTATCTAGCTTTCAAAAGATATTATCCAATCTCCAACCTAATATCAAAGACCTTGACTTGTCAATTTTGCCCAGACCAACTGTAGAGAGAACTTCTTTCTTACATCAGTGTGTGGTCAAGTCACATAATGGATGCAGGAAACCCACATTCCTTTCCAAAGTGCACTATGCGTTGGGAAAAGCCTTGTTTAGCTATAATGCTTATTAGTAATGTTCTCTGAATGTTAATTCTTGGTCCAGAGTGCTACACAAATAAAAATTTTAAACTATTTCACTGTGGTTGAAATACGAATTATCACCAATCTCTGCAGGCATTACCATGTGTCAGAAACTACATCTTTTGGGAATTAGCAACTGTCATCTGGCATCACGTGAACTGAAAACAGATTTGAGTTTTATTCTTGAGTAACAACTCAGTCAGTAGGAAAATCAAGACTTCTCCCATAAATTCTTTTCCAAGAAACTGTTTCTTGTTCAGTGAAAAAGCCGTCAAAGTTTTGGGACCTCAGGATGAACACACGTTTAATTCTTAGTTATGCATAATTTAATACCACAGTTGTATTCTCATCATTGCCAAAATACGGCAAATTGATACGAACGGTAATAAACCTCTCAGTGGGACAACTCAAGGGATGCCTCAGTCTACAGAAACCAGAGCGCTAAGGCAACCTGAGCTTCACATTTAACGATAGGTTAATAAATTATCCTTGGACCTGGATCTTTTCAGTATGGTGAGGCCCATCCTACTGATTCTCTGGGAGAAGTACGGTCTGGTTTCCACCGAAATTCAGGGGAAAATTCTGGTAGAACGGCGGATCAGAATGAGAAAAAAAATTCTCCGGGCCGGAAAAAGCCTAGAGCTCCGCGTCCGGGGCAGGGACGGTGTCTGAGCCATCTCCCGAGGCCGCCCCACCTCAAGCCTTCTTTCTCTCCTACACACCGAAGGGGCCGTGAAATCCCCTGGGCCGGCTCTCCGTCACGAGGGTCCTCTGCCTAGGAGGCCCGTGGCAGAACGAGAGGTGGCACTGGTGTCCAGAGACACATCCCGCGCAGCAAGGGGAAGGGAGGGGGTGTTCGCAGGGCCTACCCTCTCTCGACCACTCCTGTCACTGGACACAAACTAAAGTTGGTTCTTGGGAGCACCGAGCTGTGCAATTAATCACCTGAAGTATGTGTGAGCCTCACACTAGGGTCCCGCGCCGGGCTCTTAAGGCCGAGAGAACAGACTTGTTCCACCCGCACCAGTCACCGAGCCTTTTCAGCGTGCGCTTCGCTCAACCCCACCGCGCATGCGGAACCACCTCACACTGCGCAAGCGCCGACGAAGGAGGCCGCTCCTCATCACTAATCATAGAGTCTGGGACATCCAAGAATTAGGATGAATGTCAATCGCAGGAAGACCTGAAAAATACATTTTTTCACTGTCCTTATATTTTGCTAACCTTGAAGGCATGGGTAAGAGGAAGGGCTCTGGTTTCTTATTCCTCAAGAATGAATCCTCTTTCAAACTTTTAGTCAACCATAAGATGGCGCTGTGAAGGATAAAAATGGAGGAAGAGAAGGAGCGTACTTCAGTTGATATGCCTGTGCAGCGATTTGCTCAGTCGCAGACGGGCGGGCGGGGGTGGGACGGGGGAGGTGGAGAAGGCAAGGAGGGGAGGCGAACCGGAATTCCGCAGTGCGCGCGCCTCAACATCCGGGCATCGCCTTCATCCCTCCCTCTTGCCCCTCCGTGACAACAGGAAGCGGAAGTGAAAAATAGGTGTCCCCGCAGCTTCTTAGCAACGCGCGGTCAAGTGACACAATCAGCTGACTCCGGTAGAGGAAGGGACTGTGGCGGCCAGTATTGGAGCTGTTGCAGCCACGATTGCCCGGCCAGGGACCGGAGCTGAGCGGTCATCGTCAGAATGTCGGGCAAAGACCGGATTGAAATCTTCCCCTCGCGAATGTAAGTAAAGGAATAGGACTAGTGGCGCTCATAGTTTCAGAAATGCCTGCCTGGAGCGCGATTCTTCCACACCCGGGGGCCCGAGCGAGGATCCTAGTTTCCTGGACTGATGCCGAAATCTCCCTAGGGTCTTTTCATGAGTTCAGGGCCAGGCCCCCTCTCGCTCCCTCAGAGGTTCCTCCAGCGTGAACCAGACTGAACATAGCGATCCCAGCCCAGAGGAAGGCGCGCGGCCTGCCTGCGTCTATGGAGTTCCGCAGTCCTTACTCGGTAATTGGGTCCTTCCCGCAGCCCACAGTTTAGTGATGAGAGGGAGAAGCCAATAAGGTTTGTAAACTGCTCTGAGAGGGGAAGTTTGCTGCGATGGGAAGAAGATAGAAGGCCCCTGAGTCAAAATGGGGTTGAACCAGATTATCGTAGCATGGGCGTCAGATTTCCTTATTTTCCAAGATGGAAATCAAATGTCACCTGCTGTTGGAAGATATCCGTGAGTTTCTGAAGCACTCCTTTTGCACTGTGACTCCTACACCTTTTCAGACTTCTATTAGCGCTGGTCACATCGTAGATATTTATTTATTGCATAACTTTCCCTCCCACCAGTCTCTGGGCTCCTCCAGGCAGAGAGCATCTTGATTGTAAATTCCTGAAAGATCCACAAAGAATGTTTATTGAATGAACCCGTGTCTTGGAATCTGCTCACTTTCCAACTGGCAGCCTCTTTTGGCCTGAAGTCTTTGTCAAGAGAAATGACAGCACCGTGGTGGTCAGTTTGTAAAGAAAGTTTTGAAGTTTTCTCAGATGTCCTTAACGGCTTGTGAGAGTAAAAGTTTTAAATTATGCTCTTGGGGCCGGGGGATTTAGCTCAGTGGTTCTGCCACCTGCCTTGCAAGTGCAAGGTCCTGAGTTCGATCTCCGGTACCAAAATAAAAAGCTCTCTTTTTTTGTCAGTGAAGAAGTAGAAAGTCAGTTTTGACTCTGACACTTAGATCTTTTTGTTGCGGTCTTTTTGGGGCTGTCCACTCGTAAAAGTTATATTCAAACTCTAAAACTAGATTTTGTCTCTTCCAGGGCAACTAGCATGTAATAAAATGTAGTTTGTAAATTTTTTACTTTCATCACACTGATTTTATTTGTTGTTGTTTTAGACAGGGGTCTTGCTATGTAGTTCAGGCTGGCCTTGAACTCACTATGTAGCCCAGGCTGGCCTCGAACTCAGGGCGATCCTCCTGGCTCAGCCTCCCCAGTGTTGGGATTACAGATGTGCAGCACCATGCTCCGCTCACTGACTTTCCTAGGGCTGATTATTCTACAAGCTAGCTGTGGAGAAAGGTGATAACTGTGAAATAGATAAGGGTCAGGACCACCCTGGGAGATTGCAGAACTCTCAGCACATAATGACTCCTTCCAAACTTCTGCACTGACAGACAATTGAATTCTCAGCATAAGGCCATGTCCCAAGGATGACTCCAGCTGTCCACTGAAATAACTGGCTGGAGGTGTAGCTCAGTGGCAGAGCACTTGCCAAACATTTGAGGCCCTCCCTCTATTCAATCCCTAGCACCACAAAAAAATAAAATATGCACTGCAAAAATAAATGAGAAAAATGCTTGTCTGAAAAAGCTCACAGCTACCAGAAGAATTAAATATTTGTTCTATCCAATACAACATTGATGGATGCCTGACCTCCCTTTCTTAGAGCCCTTATTAAAAAGGGTTTACAGTTGTGAATGTGTACCTGTTAGAAGTATCTCTCTCAAGGATCTGAGAACCTTTCTTAGAAAGTATAGAATCTTTGTTTCCTTGCCTCTCTGGGAAGATAGGATCCTGATTGCCATAACTGCCAGCGAGCAGACACACCTGGCTTCATTGTATTTACACTGACCACCCCTTTGTAAATTTTCATGTTGCCAACTCTACTTGAGGCCCACTCCTTCACTCTGTCTTCAGAACACCCAGTCACCTCTGCACAAATCAAAATGGAGCTCAGCTCTTTGGGCTCCTGTCAGTTGTTAGGGAACAAAATCTCCATTGTTTTAGCTAACGTTTGGCTATGTTTATCTATGGCAGCAGTCAGAAGGTTAACATGTTTTTGTTTCTATCTTGGAACTTTCAAGACTAAGGTGAAAATGAACCTCTTTGGGCTTAGACAAGAAATGATAGGTTTGTGAAGGTGAAAACTGGTATTTGAGAGCCCTCAGCTTGCTGACTGAGGAAAATCAGGTGCTGGAAGTAAATATATTTCCCAAGGCCCAACAGCAGGTTCTTTGTCATATAGTCAGATGTCTTTGATTCAGCTGGAAACAGTCATTGTCCTAGCTGAAGGTCAAACCTTTTTTGGTGGGAAAAAGCAGCTCTGAAATAAGTAAAATGACAGGTTTTTAAAGACCTAACACCAAGTGTGGTGGCCCACACCTCTAATCCCAGCACTCAGGAGGCTGAGGCAGGAGGATCACTGCAAGTTCAAGACCAGCCTGGGATCCATATTGAGTTCAAGGCCAGTCTGAACTACATAGCAAGACCCTGTCTCAAAAAAAAAAAAAAAAAAAAAAAAAAAAAAAAAAGCGGGCCTGGATTTAGCTCAGTGGTGCCCTTGCTGGCCTCGAAAGCACAAGGTCCCAAGTTTGATCCCCAGTACAAAAAAAAAAAGTCATAGGCTAAAAAATGTACTAGTGACTTTCGTTTTACTGAAAGTCAACTTTATAGCACTATCTTGTGAAATGTTGCTTTTACTTACGTACCATGGAAAACAAGTTTACTGGGAGCAAAAGAGGAATAAAAGATTTGGACTCAACAGAAGTCAAGCAGACCAAGTTCTGCTATACCTTATTCTCAGTGCCCAGGCAGGTTGGTAGTTAAAAATTGCCCATTTCATAGAGGTGCCATCTAAGAGGAAATGAAAAGTACTGTGGTAAATTCAGTTTTATCAACCAGTTAACCTGTAAACTTGCTGAAATCTGCAGTAGTAGGATTTTACCTAAATTTGACCCAACTCCGAGTCCGCATTCAGATTGTGGTGTCAACAACGTGGTGTGTTGAATGTATACAGCCGGTCTGGGTGGCTCCCGCCCAGGCTGGACTGAAACAGCTTCTCCTGGTGGCACTGCTGGTGACTCTCAGAGTGAGCACTGCTCCCTGCTGCTGCAGGCGTCTTCAGGAGGGGCCCTTGGCATATTCTTAGTTTGCAGTGGACATAGCTTTGAGCCTTAGTTGGAACTTTGGGTAGGTTGCAGTCAGAAGTCTGTTTCAGCTTCCCACTCAGCCTTTTTTTCACTGAGTGGCTATGAGAAAGTTCTTTCACATTTCTGGGCTTCATTTTTCTAATTTTTCTTTCTTTTTTGGTACTGGGGATCGAACTCAGGATCTTGCGCTTGCAAGGCAGGGACTGGAACCACTGAGCTAAATCCCAGGCCCTCTTTTTTTCTTTTTTGAAGCAGTACTGGCGAGTGAACCCAGGGCCTTCCCACAGAGCTTGCGATCCTCCTGCTTTAGCCTTGTGGTCATGTGTCACCACGCTCATTTTTCTAATGTTTAAGTTCATGTCTAAAATCTCTTTCATCTATAGAATTGTCTCATTTAACCCTGTGGTAAAAGATTTCGGTACTGTTTGTGTAATTAAGAATTTGGTTGAAAGGTTTATCAATATGTACTGTTTTGCAGTTGAGTATAACACCATCATGAAATTATATCTACTTGAATCACTGTAAATGTCTAGGTTGTATGTAATTTATTGTTGTATTTTATTGTCAGAACACTTTTTAGTTATTAAATTTTATCTGGCAGATGGTAGTGAGAACAGAATCAGCAGCTTCTTCCATTGCATGCTTGTCCTTCCTTTGGGAGGGCAGGGCCGTGGTGCAGTGGTAGAACACTTGCCCAGCATGTGCCAGGCCCCAGGTTCAATCCCCGGCACTGCAAAAGATAAAGCAAACAAAAAAACTTTAGTATGGGGCTTCTGGTGGGAGAAAGGTTGAAATAAAACGAGGCTTCACTGAAAGTTTACCTTGTCACTTAGAAGTCTTATATATGCCATTTACTACCTAGAATCATTTACACTTTGATTCAGTGATTGATATTAGGTATTGATTGCCATCAAAACACTTAAATGCCACACTGGTTATAGAAGATATAACAAAGTACAAAAAGTACTAAAGAATATAGTAATAAAAATTCGTATTTTTCACTCAGCCTTGTTTCTGGGAATCCTTTGTAGAGCTATTCTCTACATCTATATAAGCACAATAATTGCTTACTTTAGGTAAGTAAGACGGTGTAGTACAGGAAGCACATGTAGACCAACTTTCCTAATTTTTTTATGACTCCGTATCATTCCGTTATATGGCAAGCCATGATTTATTTAACATTTTAGTTGTTTCTACCCTTTTGTTCTTACACATAATGCTAGAGTACATGTACATGTCCTGTACATGTTTTTGTACACATGTGGGAATAAGTCTATAGGATAAATTCCTCAAAGTGGAATTGTTGGTCCTGAAGGTGATTACATTTCAGATTTTTGTTTGCTGTGATGGGTGTTGATCCCAGGGCCTTGTGTATGCTAGACATCTCCTACTGAGCTAAACCTTCGGTGCCCCAAATTTTGGTATATATTAGTGGGTAGATTATTTTACACTTGATCTTAGCCAGAAGGCTGATAAGCGATGGGTAGATTATTTTTATCCTTAATACTACATTTCTAATGGATCTGAAACATTACATACTATTTTTACTTACAAATCAAATAAGTAAACTATACTGGCATAAAATAAGGCTCTTGATAGTGTTTATTATTTAATGAATACTTATTCCAGATATTGATTATAGAATTGTATTGTAAGTAAATAAACTTCTCATTTATGGAACACTGAGGTAGAAGTCTATAATATTGGCAAACCAGTTAAATTTGCCAGCAACAAATACTTTTTCTTACACTCATTTTAAAGGATAAAGAATAATTTTAACATCATGTCACAGAGGTGCTTTTGTGTCATTTAACAGTGACAGTAGGTGTCTTTAACGTTGTTCTGCAGGGCACAGACCATCATGAAGGCTCGTTTAAAAGGAGCACAGACAGGCCGAAACCTCCTAAAGAAAAAATCTGACGCCTTAACTCTTCGATTTCGACAGATCCTAAAGAAGATAATAGAGGTGGGATCAACTTTGTTGAGCGAAGTATTGATTTTATGAATATCCCAAGGAAAAGCTAGCACAGCCTTGGCATTTTTTTCTTTTCTTTTACTTTTTCCAGTCCTGGGATTGAACCCAAGGCTTTTCATGTGCTAAGAACATGCTCTCCCACAGGGTTACAGCCCCAGCCCATAAGTTTTTGTTATTTTAATTGACTTTTCTTTCAGAAGTAAAAATACTATCACAACAAGTATAACACTGGACAAATGCTAGCATACATGCCATAAAGATTTACGTTTCAGGTAAGAAACCTTAGTTAAGAAAATCCCACCTAATTCTACCTGCAGACCCAGAGCCAAATGTGCCCGGCCCCACCCACTCCTCTGGCCTCCCTGGGCCTCCTTCCTGCTGTGTGTGTGTGTGTGTGTGTGTGTGTGTGTGTGTGCACGCGTGTGTGCGTGTGTCCCCGTGGCGGCCACTCCTGGCCATTGCTGACCACCCAGTTTGGAGCGGCCCCATGTTTATTCCGTCATACCTCTTACTATCTTTATCATAGCATGTGAGGCTTCATGACGTTCTCTTCATTGTTTCCCCCACTAGAAAGTGTAAATTCCAGAGAACAGGAACTTTGTCCTTAGTACTGTATTCCCAGTGCCTGGAATAGAACCAGCGCACAGTCGTCCAGGCTGGCCGTGAGCTTGCTATAGAGCCCAGACTGGGCTTGAACTCACAATCTTCCTAACTCAGCCTCCCAACTGCTAGCATTACAGGCAGCTGCCACCACACCTGGCTTTCTTAGCAGGTTTTAATTTAGTGCTTTTTTCGGTAATGATGTATGAATACAAAATTACATAAAAAAGAAAGATTCTTTTCCTATATCTCTCTTTTCCACCTGATGATCCTTCTCTTATTTCCAAGAGGTAGTTCTTCATGATACCTTGGTTTCTGGCCTCTTAGTCTCCCTTTTTGGTAGCATGCACAAAAGGTACTTCATTTGTAAAGCAGGAATATTATAGACACATGGATGCTTTTAATAATAATAAACATACAGTGGTTCCATGCATACATACCACTCTAACATTTCCTGCCTGCTCCTCTCTCCCTCCTCTCCTGTGGCAGAGCACAGCTGTCTGTGTCAGCATATGACGGTCTGTCCCATTCTAATTGCTGCGTCACACACTACTATATGGACAGTGGAGTTTAGCTGTAACTATCAATGAATATCTAGTCTTAACATGTCTAGTCTTAACAGTTTTTTTGTAGGGGAAACTCTTAAATGCTTTGTGTATGTGTGCTAACATTTCTCTAGAAAAGAATCTTGCAATCTGATCTCTTGATCCAAGGAGAGAGAGAGATATTTATATGTATATGTTAAATTTTACATATGTCATATAAAGATATAGAGATAAAGATAAATACTGGGGATTGAACACATTGGACGCTGTACCACTGAGCTATAGCTACAGGCCCTTTTATTTATTTATTTTTTTAACACTTTTTTTTTTTTGGAGACAGGGTATTATTTTATAGTTCAGGCTAGCCTTGAGCTCACTATGTAGCCCAGGCTCACTTTGAATTAATTTATATTTTAAAACAAGATTTTTTTCTGGATGTGGTGGTACATGGCTATAAGGCTAGCACTCGGGAGGCTGAGGCAGGAGGATCACTCCGAGTTCAAGTCCAGCCTTGACTACATAGTGAGACCCTGTCTCAGAAAACAGTCAGTCAATCCATCCATCAATCAATCAATCAAGGTTTTGATAAATTACCTAGGCTGGCCTGAAATGTGCAGTCCTCCTGCCCCAGCCTCCTGAATATTTGGGATTACCGGTATGCACCACCATGCCCAGCTGTTTAAATTTTTGTTACCTGATAAATTGTCCTCCAAATTGTTATACTAATTTGTGTTCCTACCAAATGGTATAGAAGAGGACTTATTTTCTTTTTGTCTAACTGGGTATTAATGCATGTACTTTTATATGTTGTCCATCTATGGGATTAGAATTGGTCTCTTTTAAATTTGCACTGTTATTTCTGATGTTGAACAGCTCTTCATGTTTAGTACCAGTAATTTGATTTTCTTGGTGAATTTCTTTTCTTTTTAAAGAAGTTCTCTTTGGTGGTACACACCTGTAATCCCAGCACTCAGGAGGCTAAGGCAGGAGGATTGTGAGTTTGGGGCCAGCCTGGGCTACATAGTGAGTTCAAGGCCAGGCCGAACTACATAGTGAGACCTTGTCTCAAAAAATCACCCCCCCAAAAAGAAGCTCTCTTTGGTTAATATGTGTAGAACACTCAAAAAATATTTTCTCTACATCATTTGATTGTCTTTTGACATTTTTTGAAAAATATTTTAATTTTTGTTTGGTCAGATAAAAACAGTTTGATCTTTTTGTTTTGAGACAGAGTCTCCCTGTCTACCCTAGTCAGGCTTCAGACTCACTATGTAGCCTAGGCTAACTAACCTTGAACTCAAGATCCTCCTGCCTCAGCCTCCTCAGTTCTGGGAATTATTTAGAGACAGTCCCACTATATTACCCAGGCTGGCTCAAATTCCTGAGCACAGGTGGTTCATTTGCCTTAGTCTCCCGAGTGACTGGAAGCCACCATACTGGATTTATAGATTTTTAAAAAATCTTTCTCTTTAATATGTCTGGATCCTTTTCTTTTGTGTAGGGTGATGGTGTAAGATAGGGATTTAGTTTTATCATTTTGTAAATGGGTGGACAGTTGAATGATATCTTTATTGTACTAAATTCCCATATAGACCTGGGATTCTTTCTCTTATTTTTTTGCTTTTTGTTTTTTTGAGACAGTCTCCCTGTGTAGCTCAGGCTAGCCTCGACTAGCCATGTAGCCTAGGCTGGCCTTGAACTCTCAGACATCCTCCTGCCTCAGCCTCATGAATGCTGTGATTACAGTGTGAGCCACTAGGTCCGGCTCTGGGCTTCTTTCTGAACCTTCTGTTCTGTTTCTTATCTATCCTAAACCAGGCATCTTTCCTTTTTGTAGGGGTAGATTTTTCAGTACTTGGTAAGCCAACTCCTAACTACCTGACCCAGTTTTTCTTTTTATAAAAAAAATGATTGAGGGCCTGGGATTTAGCTCAGTGGTGCCACCACCTGCCTCGAAAGCGCAAGGTCCTAAGTTCCATCCCTGGTACCAAAAAACCCCAAAATGATTGAATATTCTCAAACATTATGTTTTCTAGCTGTGTTTTAGCATTAGTATGGCATTAGGCTTTTAACTCTAACTTCGGTGAATTTCAGAGGGTAATTTAAGCAGATCCACATGTACCCATTTAGGAATAAAAAACTCTGTTGGTAAAGAATTGGTTTTCTATTTATTAATACATTTATTGTGATGTTTTATTTTGTTCACTTTTATACTGGGCATGGAACCCAGTGCTTGCGTATACCAGGCAAGCTCTTTGCCCCTGAGCTGCATCCCCAGCCCTGTTCTGATGTTTTACTTATTAAACTTGTGGTTTTGCAGCATTGTTACCATAACCAAGACTGTTCAGATTTGGAAATTTTGTTTTATCGTTTATGAGATCAGTGTCTGATACTGATGTACAACGCCTACCCTAAAATACTGATGGTTGTTAAAAGAACTTAAGTAGGTGAGGTCTGACCTAGAATACTTGGCTGAACCTGCTGTGGCTCTGTGCTTTTCCAGACCAAGATGTTGATGGGCGAAGTCATGAGAGAAGCTGCCTTCTCCCTTGCCGAGGCCAAGTTCACAGCGGGGGACTTCAGGTAAAAGCGCAGTGCTCTCCGGTTCATAATTACAGTGAAAGTTTTTTAAAAACTGTAAATGTATATAAGTGTATGTAAGTATTATAGACAGACACATGGTAATGAGAGGGACCACTTGTAACCCCTCTCCTTCGGGCTGTCTGTTCCCCCACAGGGGCTGTCACACAGTCTCGGGCACAGGGTACTTATTTTGTCATCCATTTTCATTTGACCTTGTACCATAAACATTTTTCCTTGTTTTTATGAGGATGGTTCATCCTTCTCAAGGGGTACCATGATATCTTTTCTCAAAATGCTGGATCTTTGCTGTGATTTTTCAGTTTTTTGGAATATTAGACAAGGTAGATTAAACATCTTAATGCATATCTTTTTTTGGTTTTCATTGAATTATTAGGGTAAATTTTTGAGACTGGAATCCATTATTTATTTACTTTCGGAAAACAAAAATTTTATATCCCCAAAGGCTCCTTCCTGGCACAAGTTAATCACCTTTACAGGAGGGGGTGGGCAGGGGAGGGAGGAAGAAGAGACGAGAACCTCAGAACAGAATAGAATGAAGTTCCAGGGTTCCCAGTCAACTTGTCACACATCCATGTAAACCCAGTGTCCTAGAAAACAAGCTTTCTCTCTTGTCTCATCATAGAGCTTGAATCCTGATTGATTTCAGCAGTGTAGGATCCATTATTTAAAAGGCAAGAGTTTCATGGCTTTTGTTGAAGCAGTGTGTGGTTTATAACACATACACAATGGTTTGCAAAATATGCCACTTTATGCATTAATGACGCTTCACATAACTCAGCAAGTTATGTTTGCAGCTTAGTGACATTCTTTTCTGAAGTCACATGGCTAGTTAAGGACAGAAGGAAAAGTTGCTTTCAGGGTTTTAAATTTATTTTTGATGGTATTGGGGAGTGAATGCAGGGGCTTGCACATGTAAGGTGAGCACTCGACCAGTGAGCCACACTCCAAGCCCTTTTTAAAATTTTATTTTGAGACAGGGTTCTCACTAAGTTGTCCGAGTTGGCATAACTTGGGGTCTTTCTGCCCTTGCCTCCTGAATAGCTAGGATTGGAGGCGAGCACTGCCACTCTTGGCTGTTTTCAAGAGTTTTGATTTTAATGTCCTTCTCCCAGTAACATGATTTCTCTTTATGTAGGAGTGTTCCCTGGCAGCAGGCCTTAGAGCCTGAGGGCTCTAGGCCCCTTGAAGTGTAGACTTTAATTTTTGCCAATACCAGTAAGGTAACAGTTTTCACTGACTTTGCCAGAGGGAGGAACTCGGTAGTAAGTGGTTTTTGAGTGGTTATGGGGAAGACACTTTATTTTATAACAGATAGAGTTAAAGCCAGAAGTAGGGTAACAGAGTTTGAATACCAGCTTAACCAACTCAATAACAAACCTAGAAGGAAAATTTTCTCCAATTACACTAGCAGAATGAGAACTCTGAACTCAGTCCCATCCGTGCACTGACTGAAAACCCAGACTCCAATACTTTAAGTCATTCTTGCTTACAGCGGTTTTAACATTGTTTGTTCTCTGCTCCTTGAGGCCCCCCTAAGACAGCAGCAAGTTTTTTTTTCTTGGAAAAGGACAGTTATCAAAACAAGTAACTGTGACATCTCACTCTTGGTCTCATTTAATGTTGAAACTATCTAGTGGGTCCCTGTGGGTTTATTTCTAAAGAGGCAACTAAATAAAGGGTCTGTCTTCTTTTACAGCACCACAGTTATCCAAAATGTAAATAAAGCCCAAGTGAAGATTCGTGCAAAGAAAGATAATGTAGCAGGTAACTTTTCAACTCTTTGGAACCCTTTGAGGAGAATAGGTGACATTTTAAAATAGCCATTGATTCAACAATATCTTGATGTCCCAGTTTCTCTCTTCTGTTAGAACAACTTGATTGGCTTTGTTAAAACCATTAGCAACCAGGTCCTTATTGCTCAGGATAATCTGACTTTTGAATAGAAACGAAGACTTAAGCAAACAGGTTCTGATATTCATTGAGTGAAGCCAGTTACATTTCCAGACTAAATCGTTTGACTTTTGAGAAAAAACCAAAAAACATAGGAGACAGTGCATAAGAAACAGTACTTCAAGGCTGTGTTTTGTTGGTGAGTGCCTGTCTGTTTTTGTATTTAACAGGTGTTACTTTGCCAGTGTTTGAACATTACCATGAAGGAACTGACAGTAAGTCTGAAACTGTGTTAGTGTTTGTCTCTGGATCTCCTCTTTCCTTTTTAGATGAAACTTGTCTGGAAAGCACACTAGTCAGACTTAGAGGTCAGAGAGGTTCCATCCGGTGTTAGACACACTGCCTCAGACTCACAGGGCCCTGGGTGCCATCCGAGTGCCGCACAGTCTTCTTGTGGAAACTGTTCAGCAGCAGCATCCTATGGTGTCTAGGAGTGAGGCAGGCACTTCTTGTTGCATTTAACTCCTGTTAAACGAATTTAAGTGGATTTGTCTTTGTGTTTGGTAGTTTTCTGCTTATCTTCCTTTTGGGAATTTTCTGCAAGAAGATTATTTACTCTGTTAATTACAAATGTTGTCTGACTGGTTCTTTCAGGTTATGAACTAACTGGTTTAGCCAGAGGTGGGGAACAGTTGGCTAAACTGAAGAGAAATTATGCCAAAGCAGTGGAGCTACTGGTGGAACTTGCTTCGCTGCAGGTGAGTGGCAGTGGGGACAGCTGTGGAGAGGCTTGGGTGGAGCGCACGTGGGGCTGGAGTGGCACATGTTATGCGTGTACTTCATACCTAAAGTTTGGATTTCTGAAACAGTGGCTCCTGCAGTTCCCTCTGCTTTTTTGTTTTTGGTACTGGGGATTGAACTCAGGACCTTGCGCTTGCAAGGCAGGCGACAGAACCACTGAGCTAAATCTGCAGCCCCACGTCTGCTTTTTATTACTAACAAATTGTATGTGCAGTGGTATAGTTTCACTCTTCACTAGGTGAGAACAGCAACAGTCAAAACTAGATTTAAATGTAAATATAATGTTTGATCATGAAAGCATTTTCTCCCTTTGTGGCCAGTTCATTATGTAACTAGGTTATTAGGTCATTTTAAAAAACTTTTCCTGGTGTTGTTTATGTCTTCATTTAGTTGACTCAGAAGTAAACAAATTGTAATAGCATGGAAATTGTGTTAGCTGTATGGAAGTCTCACATGATTTTTCTCTTTTCTTTAAACGTGCTGAAAAGGTGGTCTTTGGGTTCCTAAATGTTTTTTACAAGAGCTGTCTGAGTGGAGCCAAGTGAACAGGACATGATTGGGAAGACTTTGTGCTTATTGTATTAATTTGTCCTCCTACTTTAGACTTCCTTTGTTACTCTGGATGAAGCTATTAAGATAACCAACAGGCGTGTAAATGCCATCGAGCACGGTGAGTTGGAGCTGCTGGGAGGTGCCCTGGAGTCACTGCTCCCCATTTCTACTCGCTGGACAGCTGCTAGGGCTCAGGCCCTGCACTCCTGGAAGGTGAAGGAGATGGTGCTCCGTGAACAGTGTGAGGAGAGAGCGTGTCAATAGCACTAGGAGCATAATGAAGGGAGGTCTGTGTGTATGATTTGGGGGTGACAGAGGAAAGGGTGAGTTAAAAATTGTGGACTATCTCATTTCCAGTCACTGATACAATTAGGTTGGAAACTATTTGTCAAAAGGCTTAATGTTTTCTTTAGTTCTTTATAATGGTTGAACAGTGTTATCTTTTTGAATATGTTGAATACAGTGATACCTTAGTTCACCAACACTTGTTTGTGAACAATTTGGTTTTCAAACAGAAGTGTTTGGCACAATTTTGTTTTTGTGTGCGAACTCTGCATTGGGTGACGAACACAAACATGGCCATCTTTTCCAGACTCGTGGAACGAATTAAGTTTGTGAAACGAGGTACCACTGTATTTAACTTTAAATTTTTTCCTTTAGGCTGTTCCCTTTGACTTCTAAAAATAAAATGCTCTTATTTACTTATTTATTGGTTTTTGAGACAGTCTCACTGTGTAGTTAAGACTGACCTCAAACTTGAAGTGATCCTCCTCCCCCAGCCTCCCAAGTCTGGGATTACAGGCATATGCCACCACCAAGCCTGGCAAAATAAATTTTTCTATTTGATGCATTTCTTTTCCATCTCTTTTACTTATTTTAAAAACATGATTGGGTAATATTAAAAATTTGTTTTGCTCAAGAAACTGTTTCCCTTAGAGAAATATTTATTCAATTCTAAGGTTAAGAAAGGAGCAAAATTTGAAGGAAATTCCTCTGATTGAGGCTCTGTTAAGATTATTTGAAGTGTTTCATTTTTTAAAAATTCAGAAACATTTTTTTTTGGTGCTGGGGAATAGAACCTAGGCCCTGCTCACGGTAGGCAGGTGCTCTAACACTGAGCTATATTCCCAGCCGGAACTTCTTTGACTGCCTGCTAGTGCCAGGCCTTGCACATGGGACTATAAGCACAACAAAATGGGTAAAGTTGGCAGTTCTCACCTTCAAGAGAGTTCACATTCTAGAAGCAGACTAGGCAAATTCCATGTAAAGTAGAACCTAGTGACTCACAAAACTTACAGGATTCTCTCTGATTTTTTTAATGGATTTCTATTACACTGTGGTACAGTGTTATTTATTCATCTTTTTCAGTATATTCAGCATTGGATCTTTTGTAGTCTAGTATGTTATCCGTGCACAGAAAGGACACTAGAAGGGCACATAGCAAAATATTTACAATAGTTACTTGTGGGTAGCTGGATTATACTTCAGTTTGTTTTTGTCCTGAAATTCTTTGTGTTAAGTGTATGTTAGCTTTATAATTAGAAAAGATAAGTAACTATTACACAAATGAAGACTGTTAATTTGAAACAAGGTGCTTTGACGTACTCACATGTCTGTTTTTTAAACTCTAGTTATTATACCTCGGATTGAACGTACCCTTGCTTACATCATCACAGAGCTGGATGAGAGAGAGCGAGAAGAATTCTATAGGTTTGTTGAAATTTGCAGTGATCTTTTTGGTTTTTTTTGTTTTTCATATTCCAAAGGCTCAATTTGCTGAGTGACCAGTTGGCTTACATGCTTTAGAATTAGCATAGCTTGTGTATTATTCTTTTTTTTTTAATTTAATTTTATTGGTACGTTTTAGATATACAATATAATGACATTCATCATTGGAAATTTGCACCATTACATAATCTCTCTTGGTTCTTATTTTTCCCCCTTCCCCTGCCCTCCCTTCAACCCCTCCATCCCTCCCTATTTACAAAGACTTTGTTTCCATTTTTTTCATTTTCTCATATTCCATTCCCTTCTTTCCTTTCCCCTACCCCTCCCACTTCCCCTTCCCCTTTGCCCCTTTTCTTCCTATTTCACTTGTGTATTATTCTGATAACTGGAAGTAAGAATAATGCTGTAGTTTCCTCCTACCGGCAGATCTGGTTTTTCATAGTTTCAGTACTTACGGTCAACTGCAATCTGAAAATATTAAATGGGAGATTTGGGAAATGCTAAGTTCTCAGTTGCATGCTGTTCTGAGTAGCAGCCGGGTCCTGCTCCATCGGGGGGCGGGGGGGGGGATTGTCCTTCTCTGCAGCTGTCTGCACTATATGTGCCACCCTGCTGCCAGCCACTTGGTTGCTGTCTTACTTCTCACACCAACCATCAACTGTTGCAGTGCTTGTTAATGTAACCTTCATGTTATGTAATGACAGCACTGCTGCACCAGTTGGTTTAACCTACAGATGTAAAACTTGCAGATGCAGAGTATCTAGGAAAAAGCACAGTATATGCAGGATTCGGTGTCAGACCTCCCCTCCAGGTCAGAGTAGATTCCCTGCTGGTAGCAGGATGACTGTATTGCCAAAGACCATGGAGACTGTTCAGGTTTAGATTGCTGTTTCCTGCATAAAAACTGGAATTAACCAGCAACAGGAGATGGTATAAAGTATTTGAGCATTATCAAATAGTATAGATCGTGTCATTAGAGAATTAGCACAGTATTTGGAGAGAAATGATGTGCGTGCATGAATTGGTTGTGAAGATTTAGTCAGTCAGGATAAATCACTTGTGTACGGAACTCATTATACCTGGTTCAGAGAGTGGGTCAGGGTAGGTGAAATCAGGAGTATTTAGGGAAAACTTGTTCGTCTTTGACCTTGTGTAGCATGAGTATGATGTCAAATCTTAATAATCAAAGGTTAGTTTCTATCTTTCAATGATGTTCAGAGTTGTGGTTACCCAAATTTTAATAAAAGAATGCTTAAACTCTGTTCCATTAGGAATGGATTTCCTGTTTATCTATTTATTGATTTTTTTTTTTTTTGAGACAGGGTCTATGTTAGCTCACGCTGGACTTGAACTATGTAGCCCAGGCTGGCCTTGATCTTGCAGCAATCCTGCCTCAGCCTCCTGAGTGCTGGGATTATAGGCGTGTACCATCATGCTGAGCTAAATTTATTTAAACCTGGATGGGGGCCTATCTTTTTTTTTTTCATTTGGCTTTTTTGAAACAGGTTCTCACTATGTAGCTCAGATTGGCCTTGAACAGTGTAGCCCAGGCTGCCTTGAATTTGAAATGATCCTCCTACCTCAGCCTCCAAGTGCTGGGCTTTTATAGGGTTGTGCCACCATTCCCAGCTCAAATGTTTTTTAAAAAAATGAGTTATAAATTAAATTGAAATGGGAGTATCAGTTTTTGTTCTAGTTGTACATGTTCATTGTTGTCCTTGTAAAACTCAGAAAAAGCAAATCTACTTAGTACTGAAATGGCTTTCAGAAAATTTCCCTCAATCCTATAGGTTAAAGAAGATACAGGAGAAGAAAAAGATTCTCAAGGAAAAATCTGAGAAGGACTTGAAGCAACGGATGGCAGCTGGTGAGGTGATGGAGCCTGCTAACCTTCTAGCAGAGGAGAAGGACGAAGATCTTCTGTTTGAATAGTCTTTTCTGTTCTGCTGCTTTCGGAAACCCAGCATGGCTCCATTTAAATTCAGTGTGTAGGTTTGGTATGTGTGGGTATTTGTATTTTGGCCTAAGAATTTCACCAATTGTAAAATTTACCTGGATGTCTGATTTATGGGATTACTTTTGCAGAATCATGACTCAGCAACCATTTATCATAGGCAAATGAGATTTGTAAAGTTGCTCCATGCTCGCAGGCTTTACTTGCTGGAGTGTCACATGGCTATTTATATCTGTGTCACATGTGACCCATTTACCAAGCATTTTAAGAAGTACCCTTTAGGAAACATTAGTGGTCTCAGGTCAGCTGCTGTGAAGACCTGCGTTCCTACCCCACTTGGAAATCTTGGCACATATTTGAGATGCCACAGCCACCTGTGTCGCCATGGTACATCTCAAGCTTTGTGAAAATCTGCACTTTTTTTTCCCTTGCATGACATCTGTCCTGTCTTGGGAGCAGTTTTGCCAATTTAAATATGACTGTTATACACAGAGTAAAATGATTGAAAATATTTTGTTCTTTTTATTATTCATTTACTGAGAGTAATAGTCATGTTTTACACTTAGATCAGTGACCATATTGCCATCCACAGATTTCTCTGTAGACCCCTCGTGAGTAGCCTTTTTTATTCCATTTATTAAGGTTTATTAAAAGGCTTACTTTTTAGACAACTGCATTTAGGTACTAATAAATGATTGCCAGTGAGTTAAGAGGGCTTCATGCTTCGTAGTCTGAAAATACTAATTTTATGTGGTATCTTTTTACTGTAAGTAGTAATAACCTGCTTTCATGTATGAAGACAAGGCACTTGAGTGGCTGTATCAGACAGTGACTGAGGTTTTAGAGCTGTTTCATGATTACGCAGCCTTCTTTTTTTTAAAGAAACAGGGTATTGCTGTATAGTTCAAGCTGGCCTGGAATTCACTATGTAGCTCAGGCTGCCTTAGCTTCCTGAGTGCTGGAATTACAGGTGTGTGTCATGAAGCCTGTTTTTGTTTTAAACTCAGCCTCTCTTGCCAGCAGTTCTGGTATTTGGGGCATGACTGGCCATGGAATTGCTCTTAGTTATGGGACACCAGCCTTGTTTTTAATCAACTAATAGCATAGTCTAGGCTTTTTAAAGTACTAATGAGTTTTAACACTTGCTGTAAAGTGACAGGTCTTAGTTTTGTCCAAGGCACTATTTATTGTATTTTCTCATCTCATCACAATAACTACAAATATACAAATTTTATTCCTCATCTCCTGGAGGAAAAATTTGAGGCACAGGGGGCTTAAGTAATTGTTAGTAGGTTAAAAAGCTAGAGAATGGTGAATCCAGGGTTTAAAGTAGTCTACCTTCAGTTCCACACCCTGAACTTTCATCCTTCATTTAAAAACTACAGTATTGAAAGCTAGGATGGGGGGTCTGTCCTGGAGGAGGTGATCTGTAGTTAACCTATTGTTGCTCACAGAATAAAACCTCAGATTTCAGTAGTGATTGGAAAATTAGTAACTGAATTTACCAGTATTTTAAAAATAGGTAACATAAGATGTTTTAACATTTTCCAACACCCTGGTGAGAAGCAAATTCTACCATTTCCATTTTGTAGAGAAGGAAAGTAAGGCTTAAATAAGGTAAAATAGCATAGCTCAAATTACGAATCAAGTGGATCTTGATTTCAGAGGGTTGGTCCTTAAACATTATGAATTGCTTTTCTAGGAGGCAAAAATTTAATCTGAAGGCAGGGGTAGAGAGCCATATTAGTGTTTTTTTTTCTCATGTAGTAAATAAAGCATCCACCTTAAAGCACTGACTCGAGAAATCTAGATTCCTTCTGTGGTTTCTTAAAGTGCTGGGATTTATTTATTGGTGTGGGTTAAACTGTCTATAAAACTGAAGATTGGGCTGGGGATTTAGCTCAGTGGTTCCGCTGCCTGCCTCACAAGTGCAAGGACCCGAGTTCGATCCCTGGTACCAAACAAACAAAACCCTGAAGATTATTTTAAGATCTGGTGTTTGTTAAAAAGAAATTAGTATGCTGGGTTGATGGAACACACCTGTAATACCACACTTGGGAGGCTAAGACAGAGGGATCATGAGTTCGAGGCCAGCCTGGACTTCATAGTGAAGCCCTGTCTCAAAACAAATACAAAAACAAAACAGTGGACAGAGAATTTGTTGTGTGGAGTTGGAGTGATGTGATCCACAGGCGATGGGGATAGGTCAGGAACAGAAAGCTAGATTGGGGTTATAGGCGTCTGGGTACATATTAAACTTGTTGGTATATGAATGATTTGTATCCTTTGAAAGACAGAGTAGAAAAAAAGGGGAGAGCGTCTACTGTGTTTTTGCCTTGCCATAGGTCTAGCAATGTAGCCAGCTGACTATGGATGCAAACCTCTGAAAATACCTTCCCTCCTTTGGCGGGAGGGAGGGGGTGGGACAGTATGCACGTATTTGCCAACAGTGCACATCGTGTTCTGTTTCTCAAATCCCTGGGTCACTTAAGTCTGCTTGAGTACAGTATTAGATCTCTCCTTCCCCTGCAGACTCATGCTTTGTACTAGCAGTTTGACATTTAGGGAACAGGACCTACCTATTTCTGTGACAACACATACTCCCTCCCTCACAGCAAACAGCAGGTTAACGTGTAATTTGTTCCAGCCAAAGATTCCAGTGGTCTCTGGCAAACACTTGGGAGAGCAGTCATTTTATGTGTGGGAATCCTGAATGGCAATGGACTAAAAACAACAAGAGAAAAGTACTCAGTGGCTTTTATGTGAAATATAATTTTTAAATTTTTGCAATACAGTGTGCAGTATGACATTTCAAAATAAAGAGTGTAGATACAGGATAAGAGTACAAATGGGGATTAACAACAGATGCCAGAATGGTTACCTTTATTAAGGCTAAATCCCTGGTTAATATTTTCCACACACATTCATAAAATTACATTCAAATCATTCCTTATCAATACTTATTCCTTAGGGCATGAGAAAAGGTAAAAAAATCCAGACATTAATTTTCATAGAAAGCAAATCTGGATTAATCTAAATACTATATTCTTCCATTTGTTCTGACTCATGAAAATTTAGGAAATGAAGATACTTCCTTATTTAGATTTCTTAAGTACATTTCATCAACTTGTAATAAGTGGTTCAGGCCTTCCTGACACTGCAGTTTCCAGGTAGAACTGCTGAGGGACAGGAAGTAGAACTGGCCAGAGAAGTTGTACAGCTAGGTGTATAGCAAGGCTTTTTCCCATTGTAGAAGTCAACACAACTCAAGTTTTCACTTTCTTTAGGGATTGCTGAACATAAGCACATTTGTATCGGTAGGATTTAGAACAGACTGAGACATAAACATTTCTATCCTTCAACCACTGTGAATGAGGAAGGAGAGAACTTCTGGGCTTCAGTGACCCTGAAAATATATTACCTTACAGTTCCTAGAAGTGGCATCATGGCATGTGTCTTGTATAGGATGTCTATGAAAGCCACGTGCCTAAGTCTTTATAGGACATAGCCCTACCGGCGGCCCTAAGTTGGCAGGTGGCACAATAGCCACTCACTGACACTAAAACCTCGCGTGAACCTAACATAAACTGTAAGTATTGAAAATACTTATCAGTTACAATATACAGGTCACAAAACTCCACTGTCAACCACAGACTGCCTTTCATTCCTGAGAAAGTAAACTGTAGAAAACTGAAAAGATTAAGTGCTAAGTATATTCCTCAGTTCTCAAATCTGAAAATGGGTGTGATCTTTGTATTTTCCTGCTACAAGCTGGAGTGTTTCAGACCTGAGGAGAGGGTAGGCACAGCATCCCTTTCCTCGACCCACAAATGTTACTTTTCTTCCTAAGGAACATTATCTTGAAAATATTTCCAAATAAGACATACTCCCCATCAACTAAAAGAGGCCATGCAAATTTGAACAGAAAAGGCAACACACAAACTGATTACATTTGTTCCAATAAAATTATGTAGAAGAGAAAAAACTACTATATACATGATAGTGAGACTACCTCATTAATAACAATTGCTTGTGTTAAATTAAGTGATAAGTCAGTATTATTCCAGTGTTTAGCTTTGGGAACAGGAAATGTAGCTAAAGTCATCATAAAAATAAAAAGGCATTCATATTTGAGGTTGTCACACATCCTACTGTCCTTAAAGGCCTGAAAGATGACAAATTAACTTTCCATGCCAATTACAATTTTAAAGCTATGGCTATAGAGACAGTATAAAAATCATGTTAGCTTAAAAGCTGTTGCATTCTGGTCATAAAGCAGATCTTGTTAGGAGAAAAACTTGTTTCTATATGCCTAATAACTTTTTCCTCCAATTCCTTTTCCTAAAATGTTCAAATGACTTTCAGGTCATCCTTTCCTTCTGATCTCAAAGTCAGTTGTCATGCTGTTCCCCTAGTGTGTGCGTGTGTGTGCGTGTGTGTGTGTGTGTGTGTAATTTTATTCCAATGCTGAACAAGTATTATCAATGATCATTGATCTATTAAATATTAGTATACAGTACAGCAGCTATATTCATCAACATAATTCCAGTTATTTACAGATGTAGCACAGTTAGACAAATACTGTGCTCATATGTAAAAATGCAAAAACTGTGAAATGTGTTATGTCCTCCCAAGTACATAAAAAACTATTTGCATTATGAAGAAACACTGTACCTTATACATTCTGTTGTACTCTTCAGATCAGAGAAAGGAAGCAAGGCTATCAAATCACTTGCAAAAATTTCACAAAATTGTAACTTTAAAAAGATCAGCATATTTTGTATACTTTTAACTACATTAGAGTCTGCTGAGTATGTGGTCTGATCCACAAAGCTGAAGTTAAAAAAAACCTGAGACTTCTAATGGAATTTTTGTTTTTAGAGTTAGAAGACATCCAGATGAATTCAAGGCTTAACAAGTAGCTCAAACCAAAGTGGCAACATTTTTCTTCTTTTTTTCAGAAAGTTCTTGTTTTTGGTACTGGGGATCAAACTTGGGACCTTGCAGCACCACTGAGCTAAATCCCCGGCCCTCAGAAAGTACTTCTGATGGGTAAACCAGTCTCTTAAGCAACTGCTGTTTTGCCCAGTGCACAGAAGCACAGTTCCCCCAAATATTCCCAAGAAGTCATTTAAGTTAATGTTAAATAATGTCAATATTTGTAACTATGTGAGCCATGGATTACTGCGTATATACATACAAATTTTTCACAGAAGTATGACCAAGCAGAAAAGATGTAGTTAGGTGATTAATAAAGTTTTAACAGGATAAAATGGAACTGCTGTTGAAAGCTTCCATTTTAAAATCACCAAAGGAGGCAAGAGTCCCTAAAGCCATGTGTAGAGCATAAAGAATGCTGTGCACAAATTGCCTATGGGGACTTTCTTTTCACAAGTTTAAGAGATCTAATAACAGGTCTGTATCTTATCCTGCCGCCTCCCACCTTATCTTCCATCTTGCAGAAGTATCGGCCACCTTCATATTGGCAGTTTGCCATAACAAGTCTACTACTGCCACAGAATGACTGTTCCTTCACCTCAGCCAAGTGGATGGCACCCACTGAGGTTCAGTATCAAGTTTGTTAATTAATCTAAGCAACTCCTGATAGGCTTTATCAAGATCTGAATTCACAATTGCTGTGTCAAAGTAGTGGCCATTGTTCTGTTCCATCTCTCTAGTCTTCTCGATGATTTCTCTCAACTCTTCAGGCTGCAGAGAAAAGATAAGAACTGTGAGATAATTTCCATCTTTACCAAAATATGGGATGAGTCCGATGGCCCAAGATAAGGACTATCCTTAAATTGCTTTTGTCTGAAAATATTCAACTTCTAGAGCTCCTTTTAAACCACTTCATGGAGCCATAGTGGTTTTCTTTGTTCTGGCACCTTTAGGAGTCACATTACAAATTATTTGGGACTCAATATATCCTGTTCTGTACCACTATTTAGGTTTACACATCTGTCTTTTCTCACCAAGACTATGAAGTGCAGACTGTTACTTTGATTTTCTTACAGACATTTATTTTCAAACATTATAGGGTACAATAAAAAGTAACATCTGTAACACAGGGTCAACTTTTCTGGCTGGAGTAAGGACTCAAAGCCCCCTTTCTCTTGGCTCTTGTAAAGAGGGCCTGCCCTTTAGGTCTTTAGCCTAGTAAGACAAAATGAACATTACGGGAAAAGAAAAGGATAGAATAGTTTCTCTGTTTTCTAAGAAAATCTTGCTCAAGATCTAATAACCTAATATACACTGAGAGGTGAAAATATGGAGCTTAAAACTTTGAATTACTGCTCTGTTTTCAGTACATAAAGAACATCTTTAAAATGCAAAAGGTATCCTGACAGAGTCTGGGACTCTATACAGAGCAGACTATTGTAAAATATTGTGTACAGGAAAGTGCTGTTGAGCATGGACAAGCAGATAGCAAGGCTATGTACAAAGCTGATCCAGAACCCTCTGCTCATGAGACATGAGTTTCAGAAAGTGAAACTGCCCCCAAATCACCCTTGTGAGGTGAAGATAAACGCAACAAATAAAAAGGTCACATCAATACTATATGGGCAGAGACTTACATCATTTAGCTGAACTTCTGCAACAGAAGGGAAACATTAAAAACACTACTTGTACTGAGGCAGTGTCTTGTGTACTGTTCTATTTTCATTCTGGAATGCTGTGCGTCTGAACTAGCATAGTCCTTTGTTCCCCAGCAGGGACTTAACTTCAGCACTGCAACTTGAACGAACTGACATTTCTGCTAAACTGTATCTCCCCATCAAAGCTTGAGATTAGCTTTTATTAAATTTAAGGCATTACTTCATTGCATACCAATATGGCTTATATAACTGTTTAGTACTTACCTGAATTTGTTGTTTATAATTCATGACTAAAATGAAATGTTTTATCTCAAACTTTTTGAACTGAAATAATTAGCCTACAGTCAAAACTGACCATCAGTTCATACTGTCAACCAATCATTCTCAAATTGCACCTTCCACCAGGACAGGTGGATCACTTACTACTTTCTTCGTACAATTTCATAAAATTAAAATTTGTTTTTACTCATTACTTCTATCATGTGAAAATTTTCAAAGGAGTGCTCTTTTCAGCAGCACATACGCTTAAAACTGTAATGATACAGATAAGATTAGAATGGTCGCTGTGCAAGGATTCATGAAGCACTCCCTATTAAAAAGAAAAAAAAAGCTGGGCATGGTGGTGATGATGTCTGTAATCCCAGCAGATGGATCACTGCAGTTCAAGGCCAGCCTAAACTAGTGAGAGACCTTGTCTCAAAAAAATAACGTAAAATAAAAACATAAGTGGAATAAAAGAAACAACTAGATATACCACCTTCTAGCCAACAAATGTATAATACACATTTTTACAGGTGTGCATGGGATGTTCACTAAGACAGAACAGGTGGACTATTACTAGGCTTAACAAAATTTTCAAAAGATTGGTTATCTGTCAGCATCTATTTTCTGACCATAATAGAACTGTAAATCACAAAAGTATTTCTTAACATCCTCAAATAGGTAGAAATTAAACAACATAATTCTAAATAACCATGGGTTAAAGAAAATGGCAAGGGGAATCAGAAAATATTTCTAACAAAATGATGACAATACATCAAAACTTAGGGGATGAGGGGCCGGGGGTTTAGCTCAGTGGTTCTGGCACCTGCCTCCCAAGCGCAAGACCCCGAGTTCGAACCCTGGTACCAAAAAAATCAAAAAACAAAACTTTTGGGATGCAAATAAAGAACTGTTTAGAGGGAAATTTCTAACTTCAAATGCCTGTATTTAAAAGGAAGAAAGGTTTTAAAATTTAAGCTTTCCTCTTCAGGAACTAGAAAGGCAAATTAAAGTCACAGTAAGTATATGAATAAAAATAAGCAAAAATGAAATAGAAAATAGACAAAAAATAAAAACAAAAGCCCTCCAACTCAGTTTTTCTAGTGTTTTGCTAATTCCATTTAACTTCTGTATCAATTTTTAAGAATTTCAATTTCTACAGATAAGCCTGCTGGGATCTGGGTGGGGAAGTAACAGCATTCATGTACTGTACAATTTACCCATTTAATGTTTAGGATTCCGTAGTGTTTGGTACAGTGACAGAGTTCTACAATTGGTACCACAATTAATTTTAGGACATTAGAACATTTTATCATCTATTCCTCACCCCCACCCCCTAAAATCCATATCCATTAGCAGTCACTTTTTTTCTCGCAATCCCTATCCTTAAGCAACCACCAAAGTCCTTTAGGTTTCAAAAGATCTGCCAATTCTGGACATTGTGTATGAATGGAATCATATACCATGTGGTCTACTGTATCTAGCTTCTTTCACTTGGCATGTTTTTAAGGCTCACCCTGCTGAAGGATGAATCAATACTTAATTATTTTTTAAAAATCGTTTAGTCTGGGTATTGAATTCAGGACATCACACATGCTAGGGAAATGCTCTACCACTGAGCTACATCCCCTGTCCTTTCTATTTTTATTAAAGACATGGTCTTGCCATGTGTACACGGCCCAAGCTGGGCTCAAACTCTTGAACCTCCTCCCCCAGCCTCTCAAGTGCTGGTATTACAGGTATTGCCTGGCTACTTCATTCCTTTTTATTGCCTGTTTTTTGCAATTTACAATAAAGCTACATAGCTGGGTGTGGTGACACATGCCTATAATCTTAGCACTAGGAGGTAGGCAGGATTCAGGCAAGTTGGAGCCCCTGTCTCAGGGGCTAGAAGAGATAGAGGGGGGGGTGTGCCCAATGTAAAGGACTTTGGGTTCAATCTCCAGTTACCCCTCCAAAAACAAAACAAAGGAACAAAAAAATTCTTGTAAGAATTTTTAAAAGAAAACCAACTCAATTCTTTAAAAATGAGAAGGCTTAAGGCATTTCATAAAAGAATATGCTGAAATTAATATAGGAAAAAAAATCTTTAGTCATCAGGAAAATACAAATAAAAACCATAATGATAACATTTCACATCTACTTGGAATGGCTAAAAAAAGTTACATACTGACAAAAGCAGAAGTTGATAAGGATACAGACTATCTGGAGCTATCATACATTGGTGGTAAGAGTGTAACATGGCAAACTTTAAAAATAATTGAACAGATTTTATATAGTTAAAACATACATATCTCATTTGATCCAGCATTTCTACTTCTAGGTATGTATCCAAGAGAAATGAAAATATAAGACTACATGAATGTTCACAATAGCTATTAATCATACTACCTCAAAACTGGAAACAGGAAGTATTTTCAACTGGAGAACGGATAAACAAATTTTGGGAAAATTTTTTTGCTGGCCTTTCCTCAAAGGACTAATATCCTCTGCACATATAAAGAGCTAAAAAAAATTAGACTTCCCCAATAAAAGACCCAGTTGAAAAATGGGCAAGGCAAAATGAATAGACACTTTACAGAAGAAGTAGAGATGGCCAATAAATACATGAAGAAATGGTCAACATCGCTGGCCATTAGATAAATGCAAATTTTAAAAACACTAAGATTCCATCTTACTCCAGAAAGAATGGCCACCATCAAGAAATCAAGTTAATAACAAATGCTGGGGAGGCCACAGGGAGAAAAGGAACCCTTCTATCTTATTGATGAGAATGTAAACTACTACAATCACTGTGGAAATCAATATGGAGATTCCTCAAAAAAGCTGAAACTAGAAATTCCATTTGTCCTAGCTATTCCCCTTGTAAGTATCTTCCTGAAAGAGTTAAAAGACATCATATTACAGGGAAACCTTAACACTCATATTTATAGCAGCACAATTCATAGCAGCTAAATCTTGGAAGCAGTCCATCAACAGATGAATGGATAAAGAAAATGTGGTATTTACACACAATGGAGTACTACTCTGCCTTAAAGAAAGATAAAATTTGAGTCACACTTGTAGGAAAATGGAATGCATTTTGAGACCATAATGCTAAGTGAAATAAATCAGACACAGAAGCTTAAATATTGCATGGTTTCTCTTATATGAGAAACCTAAATTATAAAGAAAGAGCAAATTAAAGAGAGACAATAGGAAGTAGGGAGAGAGATCCTTCTCAAATGGGAAAGGGGATCAAGAGATGGAGGGGCAGAGGGGAGAAAAGGCATGAAAAAAAGGTGTGTTGCTGGGGATGTAGCTCAGTGGAACTGTGCCTGCCTGGCAAGCGCAAGGTCCCACGTTCAATCCCTGGTACCACAAGAAAAAAAAGGAAGGTGTGTTGTGTACATGTCCTCACTCCACACAAGAAATGTAAATTTTATGTACTGTAAACATGTACTAATAAAAATAAAATGCCAGTTTAATAAGTTAAAATAAAAATGAAGGGAAGAAAACTGTTAGATGCAACATAGATGAATCTCAAACATGCTGACCCAAAGCCAGACACCCACTGAAACATAATGAATGATTTCATTTATATGAAGCTGAAACAAAGCCATAGTAACAGGAAGCAGATTAGTGGTTATTCAGGGAAGAACAGAGGAGTATTAACTCCAAAGGAGCATAAGAGAAAAATTTCTAGAAGACAGAAATGTTGTAAAATTTGACCGCCATGGTGGTTACATAGGCCTACACTTGCCAAAACTCAAGTAAACTACACAGTGAAAATCCATATATATTGAGGTAAAGTATACATCAGTAAAGTTAAAAGGAGTCAGGAACTTCTAATTAGAAACTCTAGCATACTGTACGTTGTTAAAATATACTGGTATTAAATTCTTGCTTTAAAAACATGTAAATAACATCTTCCTAGACTTGGCTCAATTTAGTGCAGCCAATTCAATACAAGTGATATAATTTCCATGAGAGTACTACCAAATACCAGTCAAATGAAAGTTTCTTAACATGTTTTGGAAGTGCAAGGCCCTTGATATTATACTGAATCCTTCTGGAAAAGAAGAGCCTAATGAAATAAATGTGCATGCCAAAATTATAGAAAATTAAGCTGAATAAGCAGAATGAAAGCCACCCTGGTCCACAGTGTGCATCCTTTTCCCTGGGCAACTATGGTGTTTCTGGTCTACCTAAGTAGTTATCAGGCACTAATTTTTATATAATACTGAGCCTGTTTCCCTTATTATATTGTGATCTTCCTGTCTCATACTTCTTTTTCTTTTTTTGGTACCGGGGATCAAACTCGGGACCTTGCGTTTGCAAGGCAGGCGGTGGAACCACTGAGCTAAATCCCCGGCCCCCATCTCATACTTCTTTTGTATTATCGAAGTGCAAAGGACAAGAGAGACAATGGACTCCAGTTATTTGAATTTAAGTAAGCTACAATAATGGAAAAAGGGTAAAACATTACTTTAACCAGCTAGCCTACTGAGCCAAGACAAAACAACCAGAATTATATGTAGAATGGGAAAGCGCCCATGTCTATACCTTAAAACATTAAAAAATCCAGACCGGGGATTTAGCTCAGTGGTTCTGCTGCCTGCCTCTCAAATTCAAGGTCCTGAGTTCGATCCCTGGGACCAAAAAAACCCATTAAAAAATGTTAAGTAGACAGAGTGCAAAAAGATATATTGGGGTGTCGGGGATTTAGCTCAGTGGTTCCACTGCCTGCCTCGCAAGTGGAAGGACCGGAGTTCCATCCCTGGTACCAAAAAAAAAAAAAAAAAAGATATACTGGGACAGAGCATGGAAGGCTGGTGGCCATGGTGGAAAAGTCAAGAATCAAAGGAAAAACTTGTTACAGTGGTTTAAATGACTATCTGTAAGGAGGTTTAGAGGCAGAGCAAATGAAATGAGACAATCTGAATGGCCCCCTCCCCGTTTTACTTTTGTAGTGCTGAGGATCAAACCCTAGCACCTTGCACATACTAAGCAAGTGCTCTACCCCTAAGTTATATCCCCCATCTGTGATTTCTCTTTAAAATAGGTAATTTAAGAAATAGCAAATGACCAAGGAATAATATGACTCTGAGATACCAAACATCTGACCGAATTTTCATTTTACACAAAGTCAATACTTTCTGATGAATATATCTGTACATTATCACTCATTGAATTATTATTATTTAATATAACATGGACTACTTCAACCATATCCAGAACATATATAAAGTAATTTAAAAAACCTTTCCTTCTGTTCTAGATCATGTGAGAAGACCAAAAAGAAGAAAAAACAGAAGAAAGTTTCAATGGAGAAAGACTCAACTCTAGCATCTACAATTGTGGACTACTAAAGAGAAATGTGTGGACTAATAAAGAGAAGTGTGGATAATCCCCATGAGTTTGCTGAGAACTTTGTGGTGGGTAGTGATCCACATAATCCCTTTGGAAATGTCACAGATGCATGTGAAGATTATAGATTTATAGAACCCCGGAGATTATCATACATTTGGAGTTAACAACAGGAAACATCTGGGGGAACAAGAGCATCTCGCTGCTTTGGAGAGCTGCCATAGTCCAACTAGCGGCAAGTATGGCAATTCAGGGGCAAGTGATGGTGCAGAAAGAATAATCAGTTTGAAAAGTGAAGGTGATGTACCTTTCAAACATCGTGACTGATTACATCTGCATTGTATCATATTTATCTTCAATGGAACCATACAATAAAGTAACAATTTTACCTTTGGATTCTTGCCCTCTTTGGCCAATAAGGCCCGAAGTCTCTCTTGGGAAGGGGGTGCAATGAAGATAATATATGGTTTCAAATCTGAATTCCGGAGGGTTTTCAAAGACTGTTAATAAAGATAATTGGATTTTTAAAATAATTTCTATCACCGAATTATTTCTCAACAGTATGCTTGGAACATAATAAAGTCATTTAAAAAATATTGCCAATTAATGTTTCTAAACATCTTCATAACAACTATTCACAATAGTATAAGATCATATCAGTAACTGTAAAATTATGTAACTATAAATTCATATATGTTGTTAGCTTGCTCTTTTATGTAATGAAATATAAGTAACAATGAAGAATGACAACTATATGATGCTAAAATATCTCACTAATAAGACTATACAGATTATAACCATATTAAAGATCCACTTTGGAAGAATTAGACTCAAGATAATTATCCTATTGCCAGGCTTATTTAAGTAAAATCAGAGATAAAACTTCATGTACACATGCCAAAAATAATTCTGGAAAAGGACATCCAAGGAAACAAGATTTCTGAATTAACAGCTATGCTTTTCATTTTTTTCTTTATCATTGTGTCACTGTGTATCCTGAAACTGAGCACTTTACAAAAATGGAGATTGCGTATATGGACATGTGCTTTTCTATCTAAAAATGTTAAGATAATAATCTGATGAACCACTCTGAGTTCTTTGGTAAAATCTGTTCTCTCAAAAAGGAATTCTGAAGGAATTTAGTAAAAACATACATCTCATAGATCAAATGTTTATAACTGAAATAGTGGAGCCATATTGTCTTTGTCCACTAAAAAAGCAAAACCTATTTACTATTTTAGGATAGCCATTTTAAGAGTCAGTTCACCTGTATGTGTATTTCTTCAGTAATGACCACTGACTATGTGGTTTGAGTTGACATCAGCAACATTCTACCATATTAAACAAAGCTCTTTGCTGAAGTTGAAAAAAAATAAAACTTTCCCACAACAAACACAATTTCTAATTTTAAAATTTCTAATTTTGTCTACTTACATAGAAACTCAAGCAAAGTTGCATTAGTAAGTTTCTGCTTAATCAAATAACTGAAATTGAGGTTTCATTATTTACATAAAACTAAGTATTCATTGGGACACTTGTTAATACTTGAATACTGGCATTTAAAACCCTAAAGATAACTTAAATTTTCTGATTTTTCTCAGATCAGAATCAGAAAATACCTAAAAATATTATCGTTATAATATTCTAAAATACCTAAAAATATTATCAATACCATAGTTATTGTATGTTAAGTTTCAGAAAATATACACACATGCAAAGTGAAGGACATCTAGCAGCCTACTGAATTTTATATAGCAAATTACTGGGAAAACTGTGAGAACTTAATGAAGCTCTGATGTTCTTGGAATAAAACAGTTTCTACTAGGTTACTTTCCAACACATGCCTTCTGTTATGGCTTGTGTCTAGATGTGACCCCAAAGCTTCATGCAGTCATAGGGAGTGCTTTTCAGAGGTGGATCTAGAGAGTGTGGTGCTGGGATCAAGGGTGTGTTTTTACTGTATCAGTCCACTGATGGTTTGACACAGTTCTGGCTAGGATTAAGGGTGTGTCACACCCACCCTAGGGCAGGTAGCCTGCATAAAATAAAAGGGATAGAAAGAGGGCTAATGTGCTCTCACCTGCCTGCCTCACCTGCCTTTTTCTCCTCTGTGATGTCCCTCTGTGACTCCACCCTGTCTTGGAGCCAGCCAACTACAGACTGAAACCTCTACAAACTATGCGCCAAGTAAACCTTTCCTCCTTTAACTTTGGATGTGGGGTATTTTATCTCAGCAATGAGAAAAGTAACTAAGACACCCTCTTAAGTTCAACATTCTAAACCAAAATTCTAGCTTTACCTGTGCACGAAGACTTAAAAGACATATTTTGCCAGAGTTGATCACTTGCCGTACAGAGTCTATACTGGTTCCATACAAATTTTTCTCAAATTCACCATGTTCAATGAACTTTCCAGCTGCTATATCGGCCTCAAATGCTTGTCTGGAAACAAAGTGGTAATCTCTACCAGCTACTTCATGGTCTCGCCTATTCCGAGTTGTATCTAACAAAATCAGATAAAATAAAATCAGATAAAATCAGAAATAATCAGATAAAAATAACAGGATCACAGTGAAGAGGGAAGATAATTTAGTTAGGAAGAATTTTTATTCTGTAACAGATTAGCAAATAATGAACTGAAGAAATGTTCAGAGCCCACATGTTTAACACTGATCTTATTTTTAGATTGAGACATGAATAAGAATTATATTTGTAGTATCTCATTAGATTAATTTCCATTTTATGCTTATACTTTAAATTACTTCACCTTGTATTTAAAGCATTACCACTTACCTTTTCCTATTATTTCCATCAGATTTTGGTACTATATAATGTTAAAACAGAAGGTCAGTTTTAAGAAATTAGGTCTAGATTTTTATCTTCAATATCAGTTTAAAGAACAAAGAAGCAAGACCTGATTTCCTAATGAGCAGGGGATTGTAAAGGACCTGAAGTGAAATTAATTTAGAAAATAATTAGTACCACAGTTATGAAAAATTAAGTTCCCCAAGAATTGTCTTTAATAAAAAATTATCAAAATATTTGAACAAAATTTTTGTTTCATTGACAAAACTCTCTCAGTCAAATGGATGACAAGTGGGTTCTGAGGTAATAAATTGAAAAGCAGAGGAAAATGGGGATGTGTCCAAACTTACGAGGAACTGCCAATGCAAAGCGGTCCTTTTCTTTGTTCATGAGCCTCTGACGCAATTCATTCTGGCCACAGTTTTGTGGACCAATCAAGATGATAGGTCTTTTCCTATTTGCTGGCTGATGATAAAGTGACATTTCCTCATAAGTTAAAATCTCCTCATTGTCATAATCTTTGGGAAAGAAAAGTTTAAGCCCTTTAGACAGAATTACTGCCATATCATAAAGATAGAAATTCCTACAGATTTCCCAACACTGGAAAGAACAATTCATTATTAAAATGCTTAATTTTTGTATCATGATAGAAGTAATAAACAGTACTACACCATGAACATGTTGCTATGTCACTATATTCTTAGCAGGGTACCATGAAAATGAAGCAGAGGACAATATATTAATCCTCCTGAAAATTTTTATTGCTTATCTTGTTTCACACAAAGTTGGAACACTTGAGACTATTATACTGATCCTTAGATAAAACAGCTAGTTTGCAATGAATACTCTGACAGAGGGAGGGATCCGGGGGTAACCCAGTAAGATTATGTGTCACTTCTGTAAAATGCAGACACTAATACTATTCTAACCCAGAGTTGTGATTTAAGATAATATATAAATTATGATAGGTCGGGTAACATTCCTAAAGCCCATAATCCAGACGAAACCTGGGCTATTAAGTGATAAAAACAAAGGCAGACAACTAGCCGTGTGCCACATCCCCACTCACATTATTTCACCTGGGAAGGGGCATCAGATTATGTTAGTCAGACTCAGCTATAAATTCCATGAGGGCAGGGACCGTCTTAGTCTGGCCAGTGCTCAGCAGAGCTTGATATAGAGTAGGAGCTCAAACTACAACTTTAAATTCCAGCTCAACTGCTTATTAGCTTGGAAGGATTTAAGCACATGACTTTAATAGCTGAATTTGAATCTATTAATCTGTGACCTCCTGACACAGAATAGAGTAGATATTATTATTTTAATTTTGCTTCAGTACTGGAGATTGAACCCAGGGCCTTTCCACTGAGCTACATCTTTAGCACCACCCCCCAAATTTATGTATGTATGTATGCATGTAGTACATGTTTTTTGAAACAAGGTCTCACTATGTAGTTCAGGCTGGTCTTGAACTCACTGTGTAGCCCAGGTTGGCCTCAAACCTGCGGCAATCTTCCTACCTCAGCATCCTAAGTGCTGGGATTACAGGCATGTGCTACCATGTCTGGTTAGAGTAGATATTATTAATGGTAGATATTTATTTAAAAATATCAGAGACACTGAAACTATCAAAAATAATCTTTTCTTTCTCAAAATGTTTTCCTCTATTCTGAATTGCTTCTAACATACACAACGAGATTGTTATAGTATTCTGATCTACAGATTTTATGTTTTTGTTGGTTTCATAGTTACCAAGTTTTCTATAGCATTGCAATTCTTAGAACTAGACCAATTAATTTTAGTCTCAAAAAAGAGATATTATTAATTACAACCATAGAGGGTAAAATTAAAAACCCAATAAATTCTAATTACATAATCTTTCAGTTAGCATTAAAAATGTTTTAGAAAAAATTTATTAAAGTTAATTAAATCTCAGATTTAGCATGCTATGGGATATTTCAATAATTTGTAACATTTTCTTTTTTTTTAATTCAAAGATGAATCGTGAAAAAGAAGAAAAACTTTATTTCAGATAGGTTCAGTAGCATGTGTGGTACAGAGAAGACTGGTTTTAGCAGTTTCTTTTAAAACCTGTACTGATATATGAATTAGACCTGATTTGGAAATGCTTAACATTTACTAAAATGTAGATTCATTCCAACATGACACCCATCCTTACATTTATTGTAGACCTCCTATTAGTACCAGAAGTTAAATTTTCATCACCAAAAAATGAGAATAACCTTACAGCTACCTACTAAGGTAATGAGCTGTGAAATTAATTCCCTAGTATTGCTTTGAAAATATACCCCTAGGTTGTTCAGAGACATTCGAATTCCACCTGAATGTATTATTTAACTGGGATTCTTCAGTCATCATCTATGGTTGGCTTGATTGCCACTCTTCTTATTGGACCCCAACCAATGAAACGCCAGTGCTTCTCAACTCTGGCTAAGGGCAATTTTCTCTCCCACTTCTGTGCACACAGGATTGGTCAGAACGATTTCGCCCAAATCAGCCTTGACAGCACTAACTCTCCCTCCTGTTGACAGAGATCCTATGTTGACCATGAGCACTTCGTTCTTGGACAGCTTTTGGACCTTTGCTGCTTTCTTGTCACCTTCAGTGTGTACACCCAGAAGCTGTCTGAGTAGGAACAGGAAATTTCTAGCTCCGTGACTATCTCAGGTAAAGCTCCGGCTGCACCAAGCACCTGCCCCACCATTCTGTCAGCCCGGCACAAGCTGGGGCCGATTTTTGTTCCAACTCCAACTAAGACCCCCAGGAGCAGCACACTGAAGATCGTTATGTTCCCCAAAAAGTGATACAATTTTGGAAAAGATTGGTTTACACATGGGTTTTCCTTTGCTATCTTTGGAAACAATACTAGGTCTGACTTCTATTTCCTGGGCCACCTTCAATACCCCCTTTAGGATACTACCACCAGCCACACCTCCCTTAAGGTCGTCAACTTCTCAACCAGGTTTGTTGACATCAAACGACCTAATAACAATAACTTGAGGTTCCAGAGTAAAGTCTCTAGGAGGCACTGGTATTTTCTCTGCTATGTACTCACAGACAACTTCGATATAGTATTTCAGCTGGGCAGAAATTGGAATAAGGGGAGCTCCTTCTGCTACTGTACCTTGTACAAACGCAAGGATCTGTTCATATTGTTCCTTAGCCTGACTTTCTTTTACCAAATCAATTTTATTCTTTGGATCAAAATATGCTTCAGTTTCATGATTTCTATTGCAGCCAGGTGTTCAGAAGTCTAAGGCTGAGGGCAAGATTCATTACCAGCTATCAACAGGAGAGCTGCATCCATCACCGCTGTGCTGTTCAGCATAGTTGCCATTAAAATGTCGTGGCCAGGACAGTCAACAAAGGAAACATGTCTGACTAATTTGAAGTTCCCTTTGGTCCCATGGAATGTCTGTATGAAACTTATCAGGTATACCACTTCCACATGACCTATAGCATTCTGGTCAAGGACAACTTGGGTCATCAAGTTTACAAATCTTAGCATTAGCATATCCAAGCTTGATTGTAATGTTTCTTTCTCATTCATTTTTGAACCTGAAAGTGTGAGCTCCAGAAATGGCTTTTACAACTGTGGACTTTCCATAAGCTACATGACCAATGGTACCTATATTAATTGTTGTGTGTCTGCTGATAACTTCATGTGAAAGTGGAGTCAACTTGGTAACATCCAAGGTGGCGAGACCCTGACTGGAAAGGTGAGGCTGTTCCAGGATCACTCCAGCCTTGACCCCCACCCCTATCTTGCCTGAAGAGCTGTAACATTTTATTTTCATTAGTTTAATTTTTAGTGCTCTAAAATATTTCACATTCTTGAGATAATAAGCTCTGTAAATTATGTAAGAAGGAGTTCCTCGCTTTATTATTTGGCTTGTTTCTAACATGACCAAAGCAAGTTAGACATCCAGGAAGACCAACCAAGAAGGTAATGAAATCAGAAAATCAGGTTGGGCTTATTAAAAAAACTAACAGTGGTAGAAACGTAAATAGGCAGAAGGTACCAAATATAAGGGCAACAACAATCATTCAGGTCCAGAAGATTATTGTCACTGGGGAACACAAGCCCAGTGTTATCAGAGCTTTTAAGAGAAGTTACTTTAAAACTTTTTAATCTTAGCAATAAAAATGAAACAAAAAACATTCCTGTGTGCCTGACTTAGCCAGTTAAGTAGTGAGGTCTTGTGAGATGAGCTGCTTCTATGATATGAGCTATCAGGAAATATTAATATTTTACTTCAAACACAACTGTTTCATAAGAATTTGTTAGAAGTAAATAATTTTTCAAAGAATTTAAACAGAAAAGTTAGAAGAAACCATCAAATTAACACTAAAAATACTGAAAAGTACTTTACGTTTTATATCAGTTTTTTCCAGAACTGAAAACACTGTTACTCATAGAACTCCAAAAGAAAGTAACTTCTAATAAATGACTTTCTTACATACATATATTATATTTAAGTAAAAAACAGGACTAGGAGGCTGGGTATTTAGCTCAGTGGTTCCACCGCCTGCCTCACAAGTGCAAGGTTCCAAGTTCGATCCCTGGTACCACCCCCCCCCAACAAAAAAAACAGGACTAGAAATAAAACTCCCTGGAAATACCAGCTTAATTTCTAGCATCAGACACAACTCCAGCTATGCCTAAGAGCAGAACTTACCATCATTTTTATTAGCATTATATAAGACTTTTTTCCTTTTCTTTTTATTCTTCTTTGCACACCATAATTTCCCTGCAACATAAATAAGTGTACATAAATTTGTTTCATCAAACAAAGCTACATATTTCCAACTGAAGACCTCAAATTGTTTTTAATTTAAAATTTTAAAACACACCATTCACACATATTTTCCAGTATTTATAATTTTCTACTAATTACACATTAATTCTTTAATCTTTCTTTACCATCCTAAAAGTTTCGCTTTTTTTTAACAGCCACAATAGTTTATTTACAATTGAACTCTTTATAAAATATTTACAAGACAACCAATTTTACACACCAGAAATGGTATCAAAAGTATGAATTACAACACATAAAACAACATGAAATGGGCATAAAACAAAGCTGAAGTGGACAGACAAGCAATTCCTCTTTAATTTATTAACACTAGCTCAAACTATGTTAAAGAAAGAAATAAAGAACTATGTTTTAGGAGAACTGTAGGGCCTTTGGTTGAAGACTGAATTTCACAGTGTTGTATCCCATGTAGGTAAAAATAAGACTAATTTTCCCCCCACGCTCTAACACACTATAATTTCACTCTTGGAACTTTGCTCCAACTTCATTCTCAACAAACCGCAAACATACCCAAATCAAAAGAGAACTGATCTAGAAGAGGGACCAGATTTGCTTTTTTATTGTTCTTTCCATAGTACATCTTTCTCAAAAGTTCTAAATAATATGCAAATTAAATATGGTTCAAGATGAAAACTCAAGAAACTTCTTATTAATGCCAAGTAGCAGTTTCTAACCTGATTTTTCTGGCTCCTTGTCTTCTTCTATAGTTTGCTTCATGGCTTCCCTTTGCTGCTGAAAGCTCTTCCCTTAAGTGCAAAAAGAAAAAGGTCAAAATATTTAAAACAAAAGGATAAAGTGTTTTCTTTTGGTACTGGGGACCAAACCCAGGACTTTGCACTTGCCAGGCAGGCGCTGTGCTGCTGAGCTACATCCCTGGCCCAAAAGAGTATTTTCTAATCAAGGAGATTACTAGAAGTAATTACTAGAAGAATTACTAGAAGTAATTCTTCATATATATTTCCCTTTCAAATCCTTCAGCCACATGTGAGGATAATGTCAGCTGTGATATATAAACCTCCAAAAGTCAACCCCACTCAACCAATCTTATGATATATATTACTGATGTATAAATCTAGTATAAATAAGCCAGTATTAGAAAATTTAGTAGTTCAATTTTTAAAACATTTTTCTTGAGCATTTATTATGTAGAAAGTACTATGCTAGACCTTATAGTGATTATAGTCACCTAGAATAACATCATATAAAGCATATCAATTCTCGGCATTAACTTTCTAAAGTAGTATGGGAGCATTCATCCCTTTATGATTTCAAGACACTATTTAACATATTCCCTTCCACTTCTTACTTGTAATCCTTCTTTTTGTTTGAATGAATGTATATGTGTTAATGGCTTTCCCCCTACCTTTAAGTTACCAAAGATACAAATAAATGAAAACATGTTTTTCCCTCATTAAGATATTAATATAGGAGGCTTTCAAGGTGACTGACTGTTTTCTTTTTAGCCCTCTGTCTTAACACCGACACCCCCACCCCCTCTTTCTGTGCTAGGGACTGAACCCAGATCCTTAAGAATGCTAAGCACATACTCTACCACTGAGCAGCATTCTCCTTAAATGTTCTTTTGTTTGTTTTTTGTTTTGGGTACCAGGGATAGAACTCGGAACCTTGAGCTTGAGAGCTTGCGAGCTTGCAAGGCAGGCAGCGGAACCACTGAGCTAAATCCCTGGCTCCTAAAAGTATATAATATTAAAAGAACAGGGCCTGGGATTTAGCTCAGTGGTTCCACCACCTGCCTCGCGAGCGCAAGGTTTGATCCCTGGTACAAAAAAAAAAAAAAATTACACACACACACACACACACACACACACACATATTTTTAACCAGTCATGGTACCCGCATCTGTAATCCTAGAACTCATGAGGCTGAAGAAGGAGGGTTGTAAGTTTAAGGCCAGGCTGGGATACAGAGTGAGATCCTTCGTCTCAAGAAAATAAATAAATACAAATAAAATCAATACACACACACACACACACACACACACACACACATATATTTTTTGGTACCGGGGATCGAACTAATGTCCTTGTGCTTGCGCAGCAGGCGACGAAACCACTGAGCTAAATCCCCGGCCCCAAAATCAATACTATATTATCTCTTACCTGGAACCAGCCCAGCTAGGGGCTGATTATCTTCATCCCCCTCCCTGTAGGCCTGCCACCAGTTTGGGTCTTCTTGACTGATCACATGAAGTATATCCCCTTTCTGAAAGGACAGACCTAACTCTCGACATGGAACGTAAGGGTCATCTGACGGATCATAGTCAAAATGAGCTTTAACATGGATCTAAAAGAAGAAAAAGGAAAAAATAAAAACAATAGAATGGCAAAAGAAAATATTTAGCATAAATATAATTCAACTGTTACAATTTTTCATCAGTGCAAAGAAATGAATTTTGAAAGTTGGTCAGTTAAGTAACAGTATTTGAGAGCAGTATTTGCTCAGGCTGATCTGTTGTCCTCTCTCTCTTGATTCAAACATGTATGAGTGTCCAAACTACTAATATTATTACCAGCTCACAAGCTGGGGTGCAGAGATGCCTCAATGGCTTGAGAAACAGAAGAAACATAAAAAGCTATCTGACCTGCAAAAACAGTTGGCGCTGCAATAAGGTATATAATGTCTAAACCATTGCCACCAGAAAGGCCAACTTTAAACCTCATCACTTCTCATGGAAGCAGGTGTCCGTTTCCCTGGGGCTGTCACAGCCTTTTGACCCCAATGTCAGCACAACTGTGCCTTAATCTCTGCCAGTATTTCTTCTAAAGGCTCATGAAACAAGCACACTTGAACTGCTAAAATTATCTAACTCAAGATTATAATCAATTTCTTTGTACACTAAGTAGGCTTCGAAATATCAATATAAGTTATAATTTTTGTTATAAATGTTTTTTCATAAGAGAATAAATCAAAGAATTGTTGCATGCTATTACGATTCGAGGTAGTTAAGGAGTCACACGAACTTTACAGAAATCTAAGTTATTTCCTATGGAATTTCTTCCAATTTGCCTTTGTTGCATTTCCAAAGTCTGTAAGAAACCTACCTTTAGTTAATGAAATCTAACAACTATATGCAAAGAATGTTTCTACTCCACACAGGTAAAATTACAAGTTTGGGCTCAAAGAGCCAGCAATAAATTAGGTCTAAAAATTTTATAACTTAGAGGTCATTTCTTTTTTTTATTAGTACATGTTCATAGTACATAATGTTTACATTCCTTGTGTGGAGTTGGGGCATGTACACAACACATCTTAGTTCCTTTTTTTCATTCCCTTCCCTCCTCCCTGTATCTCTTGATCTCCTTCCCACCTGAGAAAGATCTAGCTCCCTACTTCCTATTATCTTTTATTTTGTATTTTATTTATAATTTGTGAGTCCATTTCTAACCAAGTACTACTTCACTTTTTGGGGGGTGGAGGTGAGGGGTTTGTTCAGTGTCTTGCCAAGTGGCCAGGCTGCTCTGGAACTTGTGATCCTCCCACCTCAGGCTTCCCAGTGCTAGGATTACAGGGCTGCACTCCTTAACAGGCTCTCTTGGTTTTTCTAAAAACCATAAATGTGGCTATGTATCATAAAGATAATACTTATCTTCCTCAAAAGTCACTTTATTTTTATTTATTTATTTTTGTTACCAGGGGTCGAACTCAGGACCTTGCGCTTGGGAGGCAGATGGCAGAACCACTGAGCTAAATCCTCGGTCCTCAAAAGTCACTTTAGAGAAGTCAGCATCTTTTTTAAGGACATAAAACACTGATAAAATTGACTATCTCTCAGTGATGATGAACTATATGATGGATGTCTCCATTACATGAAACCTTGAATCCTAATGAAAGCAACAGCTTCTTTCAGAAATCTGGTTTGAGGTATCATTAAAAATTATTTCTTAATTTCCAAAGAAAATTTTACTAATTACTGCAGAAAATGTGAAAAGCCTTCTATATACAAATAGCAAAACTGAGACTAGAAGATGACCCAGTTAAAAATGTAATGTAGGGCTGGGGATTTGGCTCAGTGGCACCTGTGCATGCCTTGCAAGAGCAAGGTCCTGAGTTTGATTCCTGGTACCAAAAAAAAAAAATAAATAAAAGATAATAATAATAAAATAAAAATGTAATGTAGCTGGGTGTGGCACACATCAGTAATGCCAGCTACTCGGGAGGACCAAAATTCCAGCCTAGCTGCTGCAACTTACGACTGTGCAACTTACTGAAATCCTATCTCAAAATAATAGGGAAAAAAGAAGGGGGGTGCTGGGGATATAAAGGTAGAGTAGTACAGTGCCTAGCATGCATGAGGGCCTGGGTTCAATCCCTAACAGTGGAAAAAAAAGTGAAATGGCTAAGAACTGGAACTCAAATTAGTCTAGGGGTAACTTTATACGGATGTATTTGCAGAGGTATAAAAATATACATAATCACACAACAAATTTTCACAAACTGAATGCATCTGTGTAACCAGCATCCAACTGGAGAACCAGACTATCACTGGCACCTCAGAAGCCCTGTCTCATGTCCCTTTCAGTCACTGCTCATCTCTTCTCCTCATAGGGTAAATACCATCTCAATTTATGTAAACACCGATTTCCCCATGTTTGCTTTATGTAAGTGGAACTGCACGGTCTTGGGTCTAACACCGTTAAGCTATCTCACCCAATTTGACAGCATTCTGCTGCATCTCACACACAGCATGCCCTAAGGAACCTTATTCTTTTTTTTTTTTTTGGTACTGGGGATCGAACTTGGGTCCTTGTGCTTGCGCAGCAGGCAGCGAAACCACTGAGCTAAATCCCTGGCCCAGGAACCTTATTCTTGATGTGAAAACATTGGAATTGTAATTAAAACCTTGAGTACTTTGTCAATCAGTACCAAAAATGAATTTTAGAAAGTTACATGGGATGGCAATGACTCAGAGTTGAGAGATTAGTTAAAAAGAGTACACAACACAAATTTGTAATATTAGTATGAGAAAAGTTGTATGTAGGATGACCCAGAAACGTGCTTTTAAAAACTCTTGAGTACTATCCCTCCCTGTCTGTTAATAATGCTTCCAGAATTTATTTAAATGGTTATATTTTAGCCAAAAAAAAAAAAACCTTGGAGTTTTAAAAATGAAATTTTAAGTACCACCTGAAGTAGTGGAGAGATTATTTTTATCAAGCTTTTCAAAGATGTATTGCATTGGACTACTTCTTAGACTGACTGATGATTTTATCAAATCACTTTCTGAAAGAAATACCCAGCATATTGTACTTCAAAATGTTTTGCCAAATCACTTGCCTGAGATTTTTATTAAAATGGTGAATTTGGGGCTGGACATGGTAGTGTACATCTGTAATCCCAGCCCTTGGGAGGCTGAGGCAGGAGAATTGCTGCCAGTTAGAGGCCAGCCTGGATTACACAGTAAGTTCAAGGCCGGCCTGAACTATATAGCGAGATGCTGTCTCAAAAAACCAAAGGAAAAAAATAACAACAAAAAAAGATAAAATTATATATATCAATTCCTCAAATTACATGCAATTATGTATCATAAATATATGCTATAAAATTATAATATAAAGAAGATTATGTTGGGCTACATTTATCAGATAAAGAGCTATAAAATGTTTGCCAGACATGGTGGTCCACACCTGTGATCCCAGCACTCAGGAGACTGAGGCAGGAGGAGCACTGTGAGTTCAAGGCCAGCCTGGACTAGACACTGGTCTTTAAAAAAAAAAACAAAAATGAAAAAAATAAAAAGAACAGTGAAGAGGAAATAACTAAAAGGCCAACAAAATCACACAGAAAAGCTTTCTATCTACTCTTAGCTAGGCAGCTCTCACTCCAATCCGCCTTGTGTCTAAATGTTCCCCCAAACCCTCAGGCAGTCTTTTTCAGAAGTGGCTGAATATGGATTGTGTGATGCTGGGATAAAGGGCGTGTGATTACAAAACCACTACACGAGAGTGATTTGTTTGGCACCACCCTAATTCCGGTAGTCTGGATGGGATAAAAGGGGCGGAAAGATGCTGTTAAGGTCCCTTGTTGCTTTTGTTACCTTCTGGCAGCCATAAACTGTTTCTCCTCTACAAGGACTGTCTGCCATGCCACCCTAATTTGGAGCCAGCTGATTATGAACTGAAACCTCTGCGAACTATAATCCAAATAAACCTTTTCCCCTCTAACTTTGAGTATCAGGTATTTTGTCTCAGCAACAAAAGAAAAGTAACTAACACACCCCCTGACTAATTCTGATTTAAATGGCTTGGCATGGAGTTCCTCTGAGTAGGCTGGGAAGAGAAGGACAAAGGACATACTTTGCTTATATGACAAATTTACATAGCCTCATCTAAAATATACCCTACAATTAAGATCAAGAAAAAGAACAGGACTGGGAGTGATGGTGCATGCCTGTAATCCCAGCACTCAGGAGGCAAGGGCAGGGGGATCACTGTGAGTTCAAGACCAGCCTGGATTACATAGTGAGTTCAAGGCCAGCCTCAACTACATAGCGAGTCCCTGTCTCAATCCCACCCCCGCAAAAAAAGAACAAGAAAAAAAGCTCTGAATTTTTCCTAGGCAAAATATATTTCAGACTCAAGAAATTCACTACTTAAATGAGCTAAATAAAGTCTACATACTGCCTTAACATGTATTATATAACTTCTGTTTATTCTTCTTAGTTCTAGAAGTTATCTCTACCAACCTTTTCTCTGTAGTGGCTTATTCTGTTTCCCCCATAAAGCAAAACAAAACCATTTTTAAATGAAGGAGAAAAGCTGACCTTTACGGGAAAGCTCCAGTATCTAATAATCCTGTAATTAATTAACTTCAGTACAACGTATCTGATCAAAATGGTGTTTGGGTTCTAAATCAAATGAAATTTTCCATTTAAATTTTTTTCTATTTTTTATGGATTTGTCTTTAGTTTTCAAAGTTACCTGTAGAAGAGAAAAGCAGATTTAAGAACTACCTTTGTGGCATCAAGCAATGCTTTTCAATTATCTCTCCCCAACTCTGGGATTCTTCTTTTCCCTCAACATCAAAAAAGGAGTTTTAGGGCTGGGGATGTAGCTCAGTGGTTCTGGCGCCTGCCTTGCAAGTGGAAGGACCTGAGTTCAATCCCCGGTACCAAAAAAAAAAGGAGTTTTATATTACTTTTTTGTGAGGCTGGGGATTGAACCCAGGGCCTCACATATGCTAGGCAAGTGTTCTACCACTGAGCTAAAAGCTTTGCCCTTTTTATTTTATTTTGAGACAGGTCTTTTAATTGTTGAGCCTGACTTTAAAAACTCGTTATCTTTCTGCCTCAGTGTCCTGAATATCTAGATCAGAGGCTTGAACCACACTCAAAGGAATTTTCTTTACTATTTATTCTCTTCTATTTCTTGTGAGAGAAGTTTAGGCTGTGTGACATCCTGTGTGACATTTCTATGTCATAGAAATATGAACTTGGGGCACTAGCAAAGTTAGAGGAACTGCCTTAACTTGAAAAAGGGCATTATTATGGCTTATATCCAAGAGCCTCCAGCTCATAAACAGAACTTCTGAATGATGACCAGACTGTGGGGGTTTATAGCTGAGCTGCTGTTAGGAAGTGGGATCCAGTGGGAAGAGGCAAGTCACTGGGGGTGTGGCCCAGAAGGGCTCACCTCCATCCCATGCTCCTCCCTTAAATTTCTGCTTCCGCACTGCCATGCTCCTCTGCCAGGGCCTTTTTTCTTGAAGCCTGCTGACACAGACTGAAACCTCTAAAAATTGTGAGCCAAAATAAACTTCTCTTCCTTTAAGTTGTGTCAGGTGTTGTACTCAGCAATGAACAAAGTGTCTAAGACAGACACCAATCCAATATATACTGAAATTCTCTATGAAATTCCAGATCTTCTTCCAAGTGATAAAAAAATTATGATGAAAATAATATAGTACATTTTATTTCTCTAACAGTGAAATGAATACATTTGGCTGTACTCTTTCTTCAAAATTACTTACAACCCAGTTATCTTTGTACTGTCAGACACAGAATAAGTAATAATAACAACAGCTAATATTTATTAGCTGTTAGCCTATGAATTTTCTGGCATATATTCCCACCACTATTAAGCAGTGTGATTTCATTTCAATTTACAGAGCATTAAGGCAGATGAGTAACAGTCCTTTGCAGCACAAAAAACTAGTACGTACTTCCTCCATATTATTTCAATTAGAGTATGGAATAATTTTAGTTTTACAGACCATTGTGGGAAATTCCTTTTTTTCCTTGTTAAGCTCAGGCTGCCTTCCAACTTGCTTTGCCTGAGCTTCTAAAGTAGCTAGGATTACAGGTGTGCACCACCAACCAGGATCAACATTTTTAAAGGCTCTGTGAGAGAAGGATGCCACGTAGTTTGAACAATGTGTGTACTTCCTAAGACAAATATGCCAGTCACCTAGGAATCAAACCACAAGGTGATAATACTCTTGCCCTCTACAATTTTGCCCTATGCTACTGAAAGAGCTGCCACTGTTTGCTGCTATTTATAATGCATGAGAAATCAAACATTTCAAAGAATACTCCCTACAAGCTTATTTTTGTCATACATGGCTGTCTCGGTTACTTTTCTCATTATTGAGACAAAATACCTGACACTCAAAGTTAAAGGAGGAAAGGTTTGTTTAGCTCACAGTTTGAGAGGTTTCATTTCGTAATTGGCTGGCTCCAAGACAGGGTGGCATATCGCAGAGGAGAAACAGTTCGTGGCAGGCAGAAAGCAGAAAAGCAGCGAAGAAGTAGCAAGTGACAACAGCAGTTCTCTTTCTGTCCTTTATATTCTATCTGTCCCTCAGGGCAGGTAGCACTCACATCCAGGGTGAAGCAGCCACAATCCTAGCAGCACACCATGAATTAATCCCAGCATCATACACTTTCGATCCAGCCACCTCCAAAAAGCCCCACCCATGACTGCATGAGGCTTTGAGAGGACATCTAGATACATACCATAACACCTCTCACTATAATTCAGCAAGTGATTATACTGGAGCTTCAAATAATGCCTATTTTATACATCTATCTGAAATACATGTTTCTATTTATTTATTCATTTATTTAGGTACCAGGGATCGAACTTGAGTCCTTGCGCTTGCTAGGCAGGCGGCAGAACCACTGAGATAAATCCCCGGCCCCATGTTTCTATTTAGTTACTTTAGTTTTGGGGGACTTTGGTTTTTTCTTGAAAGAAAAATACTAAATATCACTCTATTTTGAAAAGAACCTTAAGAATGTTATTTTTTGTTTGTTTGTTTGGGGTTTTTCTGGGACTGGGTATTGAACTCGGGTCCTTGTGCTTGTGCAGCAGGCAGTGAAACCACTGAGCTAAATCCTCGGCAAAAATGTTATTAATCAAATGCTGTATTTTAAAAGGGATAAACCTGCCACCCCTCAAGCTGTTTCATTTTCTAGTTAAGTAATTCCTAAGACTGTTTACCATGTCTCTATTTTTCCACAACCCCCCCCAACAGACATTCAATAATGAAAAGTAGGTAAGACTTAAATAAGCACTAAAGGGTAAGTTATTTCATTCTGATGTTCAACCAATTTGAGTTCTCAATTACTTTGATAATCTACTCTTGCATATAATGAGAAGCAGCAGGTATCAACATAACAGATTAATTTTATCCATTAAAGAAATGACTTTCTTTTAGAAAATTCCAGACTCTGCATGAAGAGCAGAAAAGAAATGTTGATAAAATGTCTTAAGCTCTGACACGCATTCTAAAAAGGTGAAAGTCATTTGCTCAGCAGGAACGGATTACTATAAACGTTTAAGTAACACATATTCCAACCCCACAGAGCTACTTTTGAAATTCAAGGATTATTCAGAGGAGTTTGAACTCAGACTAGCTCTGTTTCTTCATTTCTCTTCCTAAAAGAATCATAAATAGAAGGAAGGTTGCAGATGCAACATCAACTTTAATGCATTCCATAAAAAACAAACAGAAAACATGAAATGACAGCCAAAATAAAAGCCTATCTGTGATGAAATATTGTGGAAAAAAATGAAGCTTTTCTTTCTCAAACTGTTAAGCTTTTATAAAAGTTTAGAATAACAAATGCAATAAATCAGGCTACCATGTTAGTCCAGGATTATAAAGTCTTTTTTGTTGTTTTTTGAGGCAGGGTCTCGCTATGCAGTTCAGGGTGGCCTTGAATGCAATATGTAGTCCAGGCTGGCCTCAAAATCATGGCAATCCTCCTGCCTCAGCCTCCGGAGTGCTGGGATTACAGGCATGCACCACCACACCTGGCTTAAAGTCTGTCACTTTTAACAACTTGCAATATAATTCATAACTACATGACTTTCAATATATTCACAGTGTTATAAATCTATCCCCACAATTTTAGAATGTTTTTATTACCACCCAAAAACCTCAGTATCGATAGCAATTATTCCCATTCTCTCCTAATTTCCCATCCTCACATCTAAGAAATCACTAATCCATTTTCCGTTTCTATAGATAGAGCTATTGTGGACATTTCACATAAATAAGCCCATACATGGCCTTTTCACTGGCTTATTTTACTTAGGATAAATTTTTCAAGTTCATTCATGTTGTAGCATATATAGTTTCTTTTATATCAAATAATATCCCATTGTATGGATAAATCATACTGTTTTCCATTTAACAGCTGATGGATATTTGGGGTTGTTTTTACTTTCTGGCTGCTACAAATAATGCTGCTATAATATTTATGCAGAAGTTCTGTGAATGTATGCTTTGAATTCTCTTGGATATATATTTGAGAGGAAATGGTGGATTACATAGTACATAATAAAATGCATCTTTTAATACAGTTGAATAAATGTTTAATATAAAGCAATACACTCTAAGAGTTACATGTACACGATATTTGTAAAAGCACTTCTATACTAAGTATGTTTAAATTAAAACCACTTATAACTACAGAAAGACAAAGTTCCATGTTGGAAATAAGAAAGCTTCTGAAACAAGTATTTTCTGCTTTTTATTTTAAAAGGTTCATAATTTACTAAATCTGAAGTGCCCATAAATTTAAATAAAAACTACTGTACTCCTTTACTTGAGTGCAAGAAACCGTGACATTTCTACACAGATAAGTAAACATCAGCCAAACAACAATAAATAAAAACATGAAAAAGTCACTCACTACTGTTTCCTTGGCAGCAGGAGGCTTGATCTGTTGGTTGGGAATCAGAACAAATGTCAAAGTACCATGCATATCAGACTGTAACAGAAAGACGAGGTTACTTTAAAAATCTGTATTATGAAAATCATTCCATGATCTTATGAGCAATATTCCCCAAAATGGACTATTCCAAACATCCCCATTGTCTCTGTTTTGTTCTTTTTTCCCTGTGAAGAATGGGGGATTAAACTCAGGGCCTCACACATATGCCATGCAAGTACTCTATCACTGAGCTACATCCCAACCCCTTTTTATTTTGTTCTGAGACAGGATCTCACTAAGTCGCTCAGGCTGGCCTTGAGATTCTCCTGTCTCAGCCTCCCAAACAGCTAGGATCAGAGGTGCATATCCCCATGCCCAGCCCTAAAAAGTGTTATATGCAAATATTCTCAATTCCAAGATGCCTTGTTTTTGTTACTCATATTTTTTAACCATATAGAGTCTTGCTGCTAGGTTCAATATTACTGCTCAATACAACACGCATGCCCTGCTTATTCAGATACCTCCAGCCTAGACAGTAATCATAACATCCAGTACTGATATAGCAGTGTTCAACCTAAGATAACAAACAACACAATGGGTTAAAAATAACAACAAATGCCATTTTGCCTTACCAAAACAATAAATAGAAATAGGGACATGAAGGATGTTTTTTAGATTTTATAGTAGTCATTGGCAAATAGCAGAGGTTCTACTCTAGCAACTGATGCTTAGTAATTAAGAATACAAATTTTGGTTTGTGAGGTATACAAAGTGATCATAAATTGCCCTCAAAAGATAACTATAAGTAGCCGGGGATTTAGCTCAGGGGCGCTGCTCCTGCCTTGCAAGTACAAGGTCCTGAGTTAGATCTCCAGTACCAGGGGAAAAAAAAAAGGTCATTATAAGCCTAGCATGCATAAGGCCCTGGGTTTGATACTTGGCACCACAAACACACACACACAAAAGATAATGACTTCCTGATTATAGAGCACGTACAACAGAAATTTCTTAAGTAATGGAAATATACTATAGCTATAGTTGTATCTTAATATGGGAGCCATTAGTAACATACTGAATTGCCCTTCAGCACCTGAAATAATGGTAGTATGAATAAGGAATTGAATTTTGTATTATACACTGTAGATCTACAGCACTATTACATCTTGCATTGTTAGGGAAAAAAAACTACTGTAGATAAGAAAAAAAACGATCAGAAAAATCATGAGGAACTAGGTATGGTGACACATGCTTATAATCTTAAGCACTCTGGGGGGCCAAGGCAAAAAGATCAAAAGTTGGAGCCCAGTCTGGGCAACTTACCAACATAGCAAGATCCTATCTCAAAAATAAAAATAAAAACAGGGCTGGATATAGCTCAGGGCAAAGGCCCTGGGTTCAATCCCACCCATCACCACCAAAGAAAAAAGAGGATGTGGACTTCTTTTATTGTTGTCCCAGTGGCTAGAACATATTAGCATGCACTCAATAAATATTTACTGAATGGACTAATTAGTTATACTACTACTTACTTCAGAAGCAAAACATACTTGGTACTAATGAAGCTCAAGGTAAAATACTATCAGTGGTAGTCAACCAAAAACAAATTCTACTAACAAATTCTGTGAAAGAATTGTATCATATGAAAATAAGGCTAGAAACTGTCCTGGGCTCTTAACTTTCTTGAAGGCTGGGGGTTGTTTGGAGATTGAACCCAAGGCCTCTGCACTGAGCTACACACCCAGCCCTTTTTATTTTTCATTTTGAGACAGGCTCTAAGTTGGCCAGGCTGGGCTTGAATTTGTAGTTTTCTTGTCTCAAACTCACAGTGTGCTGGGATTAGAGGTAAACAGTTTTAAAATACTTTATTCTACATCTAATATGAAGAAAAGTTTTTTAAAGGTATAAATTATTATTCTATTCTACTTGTGTCAACTTACCAACAAGTCAAAAACCTCATTGACATCTTTCCCCCGAATTTCAATGCCATTAATCTCTAGAACTTCATCTCCTTCATGTAAGAGACCACTTTTCTCTGCAGCTCCTCCTTTTACTATTCGGCTGATGATGACAGAATCCATTTCATTACGAACTGTGGCACCCTAAAAAGGTCAATGTCTAGTTTAAATATAAAAATACTTTTTTGGTTAAGCATTTTATTTATTTATTTATTTATTTATTTATTTATTTATTTATTTATTTATTTATGTTTTTGGTACCGGGGATCGAACTGGGGTCCTTGCGCTTGCACAACAGGCGGAGAAACCACTGAGCTAAATCCCCGGCCCAAGCATTTTACTTTTAAATTATAATTTTCTCTAACATTTTTTTCTGTGCCATATATGTGCCAATTCAGAGATCAGTAACTGATCCCTTTTGCTATATTTTAAAAGTAGTTATATTAATATGAACTTTGTAAATAAACAACTTTAAACCCAAGTGAAAAAAATTTTTTCCTCTAACAATACTAGCCTTCAACTACTTACATAGCTGGAGTAACAACTGTCATTAGATTTGAAAGCAGATTGTTTCCCCTGTATTTTCTGGTTTAGAAACACTCCAGTAGAATTATGATTATCAAGTGGATTTTTTCTTTTCTTAGTACCGGGGATCGAACTCAGGACCTTGCGCTTGCGAGACAGGCACAGCGGCACTGAGCTAAATCCCCAGCCCTCAAGTGGATTTTTTTTTTTTGGTACCGGGGATCAAACTCGGGACCTTGCACTTGTGAGGCAGGCGCTGGAACCACTAAGCTAAATCCCTGGGCCTCAAGTGGATTTTTGAAGCATACAACAGCGAAAAAATATACTTGCTTAAAAACAATGTGTAAAGACTTATAATCATATTTATTTTGCATGCCTGAATCCTATACAAATGGTTGTAATATATTTAGGCAAAAGTAATAAACATAATTCAAACTATAAAGAGCCTTTTTATATTCAAAATATGATGAAGGGAAGAATACCATTCTGGCTCACTACTCAAATGTTAAATATTTTAGCTGCATCCAACTCCCATTAAAATGTATTAAACATAATATTTATTATACAAATTAGAAGCATTAAGTGAAAAATGTATGTTCAAAAACTGGAAATATAACATACAGAATAAAGCTTGTTTTCATAAACTTTTAACATTTTATCTTGACTTTTCAATTTTTATTCTCTTGGTTTTTTTCCTGGTACCTGAGATTGAACTCAGGATCTTGTGCTTGCCAGACTGTTGCAGCACTACTGAGCTACATCCCTGGCCCCCTCAATTTTTATTCTCTTGGAGGGGGGAGAACTTTTCAAGCTACAATCCAAGACACCAGGATTCAAGAATATTCCTTTGATAATAAAAGAAACTAACAAGGCAATAATAGTACACTAAGAAAATAAATTTGAAAAGTTTTATATATATAAAAGCTATAAAGCAAACATTAAGGTATACTCTTTTAAGAATATGTGAAATACGTAAGGAATTGTGCTTCAGTAAATTTAACAGTATTAAGAGATCAGAATTTCTTTCTTTTTTGGGGGTGGATTTTTGAGACAGTGTCTTGCTATGTAGTTCAGGCTGGTCTTGAGCTGACTACATAGTCTAAGCTGGCCTTGAACTCACAGCAATCTTCCTGCCTCAGCCTCTGGAGAGCTGGGATTACAGTCATAAGCCACCATGCCTAGCTTAAAAAATCAGAATTTCTAATTATTGTTTTTTAAAAGTTAGGAGAATGTAATAAATTACCTATCCCTTCTTTGTTCCTCAACAAACAATTCACAAGTTATTATTTTCATCCAGTTACAGATGAGAAAAGATGAACAAATTTTTATTAACTGAATAAGGGATAGGAGCAAGAACATAGAAAAACTGCAAAAAATTAACCTCAGAAGTGGCAGGCTGGGGATTTAGTTCAGTGGTGCTGCCACCTGCCTTGCAAGCAGAAAGGTCTTGAGTTCGATCCCCGGTAACGGGAAAAAAAAATCTGATAAAATAACCTCAGAAGAGAAAAACCACCAAGAATATAAGAACTGTCAGCTATCTGAGAAGCCTTTGTGTGGAAAGAAAGTTGGATCGGAGATGAGGAACACTTACCAATGGAATATCACGAGCCTTTTCTATACGAACTATTTTCACAGTTTCTCCTCCATACTGGCCAATGCTTTCATAAACTCTTCCATCTGCAATGGACTCTAGCTGCATTTCCTGCTCAGCAACCTTATCATGGGCCAGTAAAAGTGCCTGTTTCAAAGAAATTGATAGCAATTTAACAGCATGACTTATTTCTGAAGGAGACTTTTAAACTCATCATGTATATATGATTCTGTTCATTAAATCTTTAAAATTGCTATAATTAGTTGTATGTCCATATCTGTTCAAACTCTGCAACTCAAGCACAGATTGTAACCCTGTATATTTTTGAGCTATTGATAACTAAAGATGTACTGAGTATATCAGGGCATACACTGAAATGGATTATAAAAAGCCCAAAATGCTTATTAAGCTTCATAAAAACAAAATTAATTTAAATGCTTAGACATGCTAGCTAATTAAAATTTATGGAAAATACATACCCCCCAAAGCAAATAACTTGTCCAACATTAAAAGAAAAAAAGTTGTTTCAAAAATAATTTGGTTAATTTTAAATAAGAATGTTTATAATCCAACAATAATAATTACTTTGCAGAGTGGGTTGTAAATATTAAGACTGGCTAGGTAATGTTTAATGTCTCTTCCAACCTGAGGAGACTTTGATTTTTTTTTAAAAAAGACTAAATCCTGTGGGAAATGCCACATATAAGGGCCTGTCCATTTTCTACCTGAATATGTGGAGCATTCAGCAAAGCAGATAATTCCTGTCCTTCTTTCTGATGGGTTGGTTTCAAAACAGCTTGTACCTAAGAAATAGAAACAAAGATTATTCTTCCTATCTTACAGGAAATAGCAGTAGCACCTAGGCAGGGTAATTTTTTTAAAGTACAAATCAAACGAATAAAAAATATTTGTGAGAAACTGATGAGATAACCTCAGTCTGGGTCTGCATTCACATTTCTTTCTGTCTTAATGCTTTTTTTTAACTTCATCTAACTTATCAAAGGTCTATCGTTCTTTTCAAAGAATCAGCTTCTAATGCTACAAAATCTATTTTTCCTTCCATGTAAACAATTTAATTCTAACTCTGTTTTCCTTTACAGTTTCTAATCACTTGATCTTTAAGTTCAGTTCATTTATGTTCAACCTTTTCTCTTCTAACATAAATCCTGTATTTAATAGCACTGTACATAATTTCCTCTGCTCCCTTCCCCAAAGATTATACTTAGGACTCATTATTGATGACTCTCATTTTTTTTTTGTTTTCCATCCCCAAGTCCAACTACCTACCAAAAATAGGACTTTGTAATAATGTGGAAAACAAAACCAAAATTATCACTATTAATTAAATCATGCAGACATAAATCTATGCCAGGTATAGTGATGTACACCTGTAATCCTAGCACTCTGGGAGGTGGAGACAGAAGGAACCAAAGTTCAAGCCCAGCTTGGGCAATTCTGTGAGACTCTATCTCAAAATGAAACATTAAAAAAGGGCTGGAGGTGGTGGTGGTGCATGCCTGTAATCTCAGCATTTGGGAGGCTGAGGCAGGAGGATTGGTGTGAGTTTGAGGCCAGCCTGGGCTATACAGAGTTCAAGGCTAGCCTGAACTACACAGCAAGACCCTGTCTCCCCCCGCCCCCTCCCCCCCAAATTCTCAGTATCACAGAACAAAACAAAGTCAATCCATATACAGAAATTTTTTGAGGGAGGCATACTAGGGATTGAACCCAGGACCTTTACATTGAACTACATTCCTGGTCCTTTTTGAAATTTCTAATTTTGAGACAAGGTCTCATTAAGTCACTAAATTGCCAAGGCTGGGCTGAAATTATGAATCCCCCGTCTCAAACTCCCAGGTTGCTGGGATTATAAGGATAGACCACTATACTGGCTACATATAGAATGTATTAATGAGAATAACTCATGATTAAAACAGGAATTTATTAATTCTACACTATTTTATCAGTAATTTCCCAATTAAACCTAAGAGATAATAATTTGGGGATTAATTTTACCACAGTATGTCAAACTGATGATACTATCAAAACCAGTCTGTCCTATGGTTTCTAATGTTTCTAATAGAGTTCTATGTGCATAAAAAATTATTTGCACTGAAAATTATCTTAATTCCATTAAAATCTAATGGACAAGATCATGATCTGAAAATACGGGTAACTAAAAGCTGATTTTTGATATAGGATGTTTTCATTTTTAAAATTAAATCTACATTAATGTAAAATGAAATCTTGCTGGGTGCGGTGATGTACACCTATAATCCCAGTACTCAGGAGGCTGAGGCAGGAGAATTGCTGTGAATTTGAGGCCAGCCTGGACTACATAGTGAGACCATGTCTCAAAAAACCCAAACCCAAACCCAAACCAAACCGAACCCCAAAAAAACCCAAAACAAATCTATAGTCCCTGACCATAGAACTTTTGATTGCAGAAAGTAACTCTGAGGGTGAAACATAATTCTGGATTAAAAATGTACCAAGGACAAAAGATACAAGTAAACTTAAAAATAATTTTCTATACTAAACATTTTTTGCCATTTCTACTTTAAGTCATTTCCTAAACATCATTGAGAACATCTTTCTTAGAAGCTTAGAATTCCTATAACAGTACTTATTCCTTTCCCTTATTAACCCAGATGTTACCCATGCTACTGTCAACACACAGCATCAGGCAGTCTACAAAGGCCTAAGAATTGCCTCAGCAGATTTTTTTTTTTTTTTTTTTGGTACTGGGGATTGAACTCAGGACCTTGCTCTTGCGAGTCAGGCTGCAGAACCACTGAGCTAAATCCCCAGCCCCAAAGGCCTAAGAATTAAAAGGCTTGTTCTGATATATTACTGGCTCCTTTCCATTGCCCTATACAAATGCTGTAATCTCTTATCCTTAAAAATATTCACTTCTAACCTTGTATTCTTCTCTAGCTAACTGTACTACATTTTCTTCAGAGACAATTAGAGAAACAGTATGTTAAATATCAAAGATTAGAGAATAGACAGCTGAAGGGAAAAAAGTAAAGGAAGGACTTTTATTATACCTAGGGATAATCAACTTGGTATATATCCTTCCTATATTTTTATACTTCCTTTTACCAAAGTACTCATTGCATTTGTTAAAATCATACATTCTCTGTTCCTCTACAACTTTATATTTCATTACTTCTTCCTGTTCATTTCAGTGGTTACAACCTCCAGAAAAATGCTGAATACTAGCAGTGACAGTATGGATATTATTTTACTAAAGGATTAAATGGCCATTTGGTAAGATGCCATTGGTTTCTGGCATTATTTTTTGTCAAGTTAACAAAATGTGCTTGACTTTTTAAAAATTTTCATCTCCGTGGAAAAAGTACTATAAGTTTAAAAACTGCCTTTTCTGAACTGAACTGATTTCTCCTCCCATCTATTCAGGTGAGTTACTTTAAAATATTTACTGGCCAGGTGTGGTGCATGTGCCTGTAATCCCAGCACTTGGGAGGCTGAGGCAGGAGGATCACGGCAAGTTTGAGGCCAGCCTGGGCTAGCTACATAGTGAGCTCAAGACCAGCCTGAACTATACAGCAAGACCTTGTCTCAAAACACAAAACCAAACAAAATATTTACCCAAGTGTATCCATTGTAAGATAATTTAAAACTTATTAATATAATCTACTTGGCCTTCAGGATCGGGACTTCATCTTTTAAGATCATATCCTATCCTTAATTCACTGTTGAAGAAACAGGCCAGGCTTTCTCTGTCACTATCACCTTTGTGTCCTTTGATAATAGAATGTCTTTTCTTTTCTGGGTTCCTGTAAATTGCCAATAATCCTTTGAGACTCAGCAAATTAAATTTCCTTCTATATTTCTTCCTCCTTTCTATCATTCTCCTCCTCCTGACGACCCCCTCTCCCTGCCAAATTTACTTTCTCATACTGCCATTAGAAAGCTTCTCATCAGACTACAATATTCAACTTCTGCAAGTTGAGAGATTTCTGGGTCATTTACAGTTTCTATTATCTGACTGTTACAAACATTTGCTCTTAAGTCTTTGTGTTGATAATGTTTTCCTTTCTCTTGGGCCTAGGAATGAAATTGTTAGGCCATAGTATATGGGTACATCAGCTTTAACAGATATTGTCAAGCATTTTTTCTACAATTTATACACCACCAGCTTCCTACTGCTCCATAAGTTTACCAACATTTGCTATTGTTGCCAGTCTTTTTAATTTAAATTACAGTAATTCTAGTGTCTGTGCAGGGGTATCTCTTTTGTTTTAATTTGTATTTCTCTGTTAGTCTTTTTATGTTTTGGGGCTATTTAGATTTCCTTTTTTATTTTTTATTTCTTTTGGTACCGGGGATCAAACTCGGGTCCTTGCACTTGCAAGGGAGACGGCAGAACCACTGAGCTAAATCCCTGGCTCCTTGTTTAAACAGGGTCTGTCATCTGTCATTTTTTAAAACTGAATAGTTTCATTAATTTCCATGTTTCTAAAATATATATTCTAAATACAAGTTCTTGTCACATATATTTAAACACATATATACAGTACCTCAAAATCAAATAACCAAGTAACACTTCTTGGTGTGCTGGCTTGCATTTTATTTTCTTAAAGGTGTTCTTGGAAAAGCAAAAGTTCATTTAATGAATTCAAGTTCTCAGTCTTTTCTTTATAAAAGCACTTGTCAAGACTGAGTTTGTTTTTTTTTTCTTTTGGGTACCGGGATTGAACTTGGGACCTTGCGCTTGCAAGGCAGGCAGTGGCACCACTGAGCCAAACCCCTGGCCCTCAAAAGCATTTGTAATAATGGGAGGCTGAGGCAAGAGGATCAAGAGTTCGAGCCCAGCCTGAGCAACTTAACAACTCAGTGAAAACTTTTCTCAAAATAAAAAATAAAAAGGGGTGTAGCTAGGTGCAAAGGTCCTGGAGTACTGGGGAGAGGGAGAGAGAAGGAGAGGGAGAAGGGAGAGGGAGAAGGGAGAGGAAGG